GGGTTAAAATCAACTTTTTAAAATTACATAAAGTAAAGTCCTCGATCTCTCGTACTCACTGTCAGCATGTCATCACACTTCATATCCGGCAGTTCGCCATCCTCTCCTTTATTGTAGAACTTCCTAAAGAAGTTAAAGGCCACCACAGTGTAGAGATACACAACCACGGCCAGCAGACCCACCGTCAGCACCAGCTGGGGGAGGAACACAACAACACAACATCATATACACAACAGCAAAACATCAACAGCAAAACATCAACACAACATCACCAACACAACCAACACAACATCACTAACACAACATCACCAACACAACATCACCAACATAACATCACCAACACAACATCATCAACACAACATCACCAACACAACATCATCAACACAACATCACCAACATAACATCACCAACACAACATCATCAACACAACATCACCAACACAACATCATCAACACAACATCACCAACATCACCAACACAATCAACACAACATCACTAACACAACATCATCAACACAACATCACTAACACAACATCACCAACACAACATCACCAACACAAATCAACACATCACACAACATCACTAACACAACATCACCAACACAACATCACTAACACAACATCACCAACACAACATCACCAACATAACATCACCAACATAACATCACCAACACAACATCATCAACACAACATCACCAACACAACATCACAACACAACATCACCAACACAACATCAACAACACAACATCACCAACACAATCAACACAACATCACTAACACAACATCATGAACACAACATCACTAACACAACATCACCAACACAACATCACCAACACAACATCACGAACACAACATCACTAACACAACATCACCAACACAACATCATCAACACAACATCACTAACACAACATCACCAACACAACACAATCAACACAACACTCACAACATCACCAACACAACCAACACAACATCACTAACACAACATCACCAACACAACATCACCAACACAACATCAACAACACAACCAACACAACATCACAACACAACATCACCAACACAACATCACCAACACAACATCATCAACACAACATCACCAACACAACATCACCAACACAACATCACCAACATAACATCACCAACACAACATCACCAACATAACATCACCAACACAACATCACCAACACAACATCATCAACACAACATCACCAACACAACATCATCAACACAACATCATCAACACAACATCACCAACACAACATCATCAACACAACATCACCAACATCACCAACACAACCAACACAACATCACTAACACAATCACCAACACAAATCACAACAAACATCAACAACACAACAACACAACATCACAACAAACATCACCAACACAACATCACCAACAAACATCACCAACACACATCACTAACACAACATCACCAACACAACATCACCAACATAACATCACCAACACAACATCATAAACAACATCACCAACACAAATCATCAACACAACATCATCAACACAACATCACCAACATAACATCACCAACACAACATCATCAACACAACATCACAACACACATCACCAACATACATCACAACATAACATCACCAACACAACATCATCAACACAACATCATCAACACAACATCACCAACATAACATCACCAACATAACATCACCAACACAACATCATCAACACAACATCATCAACACAACATCATCAACACAACATCACCAACATAACATCACCAACACAACATCATCAACACAACATCATCAACACAACATCACCAACATAACATCACCAACACAACATCATCAACACAACATCACCAACACAACATCATCAACACAACATCATCAACACAACATCACCAACACAACATCATCAACACAACATCACCAACACATCAACACAACATCACCAACACAACATCACCAACACAACATCACCAACACAACATCACCAACATAACATCACCAACACAACATCATCAACACAACATCACCAACACAACATCATCAACACAACATCATCAACACAACATCACCAACACAACATCATCAACACAACATCACCAACATCACCAACACAACCAACACAACATCACTAACACAACATCACCAACACAACATCACCAACACAACATCAACAACACAACCAACACAACATCACTAACACAACATCACCAACACAACATCACCAACACAACATCATCAACACAACATCACTAACACAACATCACCAACACAACATCATCAACATCACCAACACAACCAACACAACATCAACAACACAACATCACCAACACAACATCAACAACACAACATCATCAACACAACATCACCAACACAACATCACCAACACAACATCAACAACATCACCAACACAACATCACCAACACAACATCACCAACACAACATCAACAACACAACATCACCAACACAACATCACCAACACAACATCATCAACATCACCAACACAACCAACACAACATCACCAACACAACATCATCAACACAACATCATCAACACATCAACAACACCAACACAACATCATGAACACAACATCACCAACACAACATCAACAACACAACATCACCAACACAACATCACCCACACAACATCACCACACAACATCACCAACACAACATCAACAACACAACATCACCAACACAACATCATCAACACAACATCACCAACACAAAATCAACAACACATCAACAACACCACATCATCACCAACACAACATCACCAACATCATCAACACAACATCACCAACATCACCAACACAACATCATCAACATCACCATCACACACAACATCAACAACACAACATCATCAACACAACATCATCAACACAACATCAACAACACAACATCAACAACACAACATCAACACAACATCACCAACACAACATCATGAACACAACATCACCAACACAACATCAACAACACAACATCATCAACACAACATCATGAACACAACATCACCAACACAACATCACCAACACAACATCATGAACACAACATCACCAACACAACATCACCAACACAACATCATCAACACAACATCATCAACACAACATCACCAACACAACATCACCAACACAACATCATGAACACAACATCAACAACACAACATCATGAACACAACATCACCAACACAACATCAACAACACAACATCATCAACACAACATCACTAACACAACATCACCAACACAACATCACCAACACAACATCAACAACACAACATCAACAACACAACATCACCAATACAACATCATCATCACAACATCAACAACACAACATCACCAACACAACATCATCAACACAACATCACCAACACAACATCAACAACACAACATCACCAACACAACATCACCAACACAACATCAACAACACAACATCAACAACACCACATCACCAATACAACATCATCATCACAACATCAACAACACAACATCACCAACACAACATCACCAACACAACATCAACAACACAACATCACCAACACAACATCACCAACACAACATCACCAACACAACATCAACAACACAACATCAACAACACAACATCACCAATACAACATCATCATCACAACATCAACAACACAACATCACCAACACAACATCTTCATCTTGTGCAGATGTTGGTGTGGTTGTGTTCCGTCTGAATGTGTTTACCTGTTTGCCGTTGTGTGTGACAGACGACAGGATGGTCCTCAGCGTTTTGAAGCCCATAGCGATGTCGAGCAGGTGAGCAGCGAAGAAGAAGTTGTTGTAGTGACCGAGGATTGACATGGTCATGTACCAGGCCAGGTACAGGAATGACTGCATATATAATGTCAAATACAATCTTATATGATGATATATATAATTGTATAAATAATATCAATCATAATATCCAATATAGCATATAAAATAGATTCACAGTATGTAAAGAGAGCTGATGGTACAGGAAGGACTGCAGGGGGAGTTACAGATGATTTGAACAGTCTAATTGTTCACACTCACATTGTCGGTGAAAACAACTCCGAGCTTCCAGATCTGATATTTCACATCGATGGAGTTCAGTCTGATGACAGGAAACACATTCATGGTGAATAAAGTCCAATTAGTGTAATGGGAAAACATTCACACCATGAATTTAACTCACTTAACCTGTCTGCTGTGTCTGTAACACTGTGTCTGTAACACTGTGTCTGTTACACTGTGTCTGTAACACTGTGTCGTTTACACTGTGTCGTTTACACTGTGTCTGTAACACTGTGTCTGTAACACTGTGTCTGTAACACTGTGTCGTTTACACTGTGTCTGTAACACTGTGTCTGTAACACTGTGTCTGTAACATTATTGGAACACTCACACAGCAGCCAGTGAGCCATCTCTGCGAGGTTTCCTCTTCTTATGAGCGTCGCTGAAGTCCAGAGCAGCTTTGTCCATCCCGAGCAGCTCGCTGATTCGGTCGTGTCCGTAAAACTCTCCGTATTTATCCATCACCTGACGACCACAGGAAAACACTTAACATCATCTATATATGTATATATATATATATACACATATATATTCATGTGTATATACTGTAAACAAACTGGAATAAAAGTTTAACATAAAAACGTAATAAAGAACTCTTGACTTCTCTCTGGATGTTCTGAGACTCCTCTGTTTGTATGAATTTATAATCTTGTATAATCTCGGTGGTACATGTGCATGTCTTCAGTTGTAAATTTAGTCTCATATGAAATATGATTCAAAGTTGATAATAATAGAGAGGAGGTGGCTTCACAAAGTGAGACTAACAGAATCAGGAGGACATGTCAGAATCACTGACTCTCTAAATGAAGCTCCTGAGATGTGTCATAAACAATCATTTCGATCAGCTCTCTGAGGATCTCTGTGGACAAACTCTCAACCTGACAGAGAGGATTATAAAGAATCTGATTGGTCGAGGAGATCCTCTGTGAAGCTTTGACACCTACCTTCCTCTTCACAAACTTATCCCAGTAATTATTTGGAAAAGATCTGAAAAGAGACGACACAAAGATATCAGTCACAAAATCTGAAAATTATTAAAATAAAAACGGAAGACTGACAGGGGGGAAAGAAACAATAATAAGGAAGACCACAACTGCCTCTGAATGTTATTGTTTATGTTTATATAAATATATTTACTGAGTGTTGATGACCAATCCGTCCCACTGTCTTTTGATGTCCTCTGAATGTTATTGTTTATGTTTATATAAATATATTTACTGAGTGTTGATGACCAGTCTGTCCCACTGTCCTTTGATGTCCTCTGAATGTTATTGTTGATGTTTATATAAATATATTTACTGAGTGTTGATGACCAGTCTGTCCCACTGTCCTTTGATGTCCTCTGAATGTTATTGTTGATGTTTATATAAATATATTTACTGAGTGTTGATGACCAGTCTGTCCCACTGTCCTTTGATGTCGTCCTCTGATGGTTGTTCTGTGATGTACAAACCATCAAACTCCAGTTTCCTCGCCACTTCCTTTTCTCTCTTAAAGATCACCAATGGAACCTGCAGCACACATTACACACACATCATATTATGTATACAGTGTATATAGATTAAACAATAAATGATATATACAGTGTTTATATATTAAACATAAATATATATACAGTGTATATATATTAAACATAAATGATATATACAGTGTATATATATTAAACATATATGATATATACAGTGTATATATATTCAACATAAATGATATATACAGTGTATATATATATTAAACATAAATGATATGTACAGTGTTTATATATTAAACATTAATGATATGTACAGTGTATATATATTAAACATATATTATATATACAGTGTATATATATTAAACATATATGATATATAGTGTATATATATTAAACATATATTATACAGACTAACATACAAAAAATCACAAATTACAAAAAGATCATTTTATTTGTGTGTGGCTATCCATCCATTTTCTACGCTTATCCAAGTTGGATTCAGGGTGTCAACAGGCGAAGTAAGTCAACCCAGACTTCACTCTCCACAGCTACGTTTTCTCCAGATCCTCCTCCTGGGGCGTTCCCAGGCTCCTCCAGCGAGCTCTGGGCTCCTCAGTAAGTCACCTCGTTACCTGTCAGCTGCAGCGAAAGACTCCTGGACTAACCAAGCCTGAAAGGCCTCCATCTCCATCCTGACAGATTCCTTCACCACTGCTGTCCACCAGGTGTCCACCAGCGGGTTCTTAGGTGTCCACCAGCGGGTTCTTAGGTGTCCACCAGCGGGTTTCTAGGTATCCACACGCAAGTTCTTAGGTGTCCACCAGCGGGTTTCTAGGTGTCCACCAGCGGGTTTTTAGGTGTCCACCAGCAAGGTCTTAGGTGTCCACCAGCAGGTTCTTAGTTGTCCACCAGCTGGTTCTTAGGTGTCCACCAGCGGGTTCTTAAGTGTCCACCAGCGGGTTCCTAGGTGTCCAACAGCGAGTTCTTAGGTGTCCACCAGCGGGTTCTTAGGTGTCCACCAGCGGGTTTCTAGGTATCCACACGCAAGTTCTTAGGTGTCCACCAGCGGGTTTCTAGGTGTCCACCAGCGGGTTCTTAGGTGTCCACCAGCGGGTTCTTAGGTGTCCACCAGCGGGTTTCTAGGTATCCACACGCAAGTTCTTAGGTGTCCACCAGCGGGTTTCTAGGTGTCCACCAGCGGGTTCTTAGGTGTCCACCAGCGGGTTCTTAGGTGTCCAACAGCGGGTTCTTTGGTGTCCACCAGCGAGTTCTTAGGTGTCCAACAGCGGGTTCTTTGGTGTCCACCAGCGGGTTCTTTGGTGTCCACCAGCGGGTTTCTAGGTGTCCACCAGCGGGTTTCTAGGTATCCACACGCAAGTTCTTAGGTGTCCACCAGCGGGTTTCTAGGTGTCCACCAGCGGGTTTTTAGGTGTCCACCAGCAAGGTCTTAGGTGTCCACCAGCAGGTTCTTAGTTGTCCACCAGCGGGTTCTTAAGTGTCCACCAGCGGGTTCCTAGGTGTCCAACAGCGAGTTCTTAGGTGTCCAACAGCGGGTTCTTTGGTGTCCACCAGCGGGTTCTTTGGTGTCCACCAGCAGGTTCTTAGGTGTCAGCAGGTTTTTAGGTGTCCATCAGCGGGTTCTTAGGTGTCCATCAGCGGGTTATTAGGAGTCCACCAGCAGGTTCTTAGGTGTATACCAGCGGGTTCTAAGGTGTTCATCAGCAGGTTCTTAGGCGTCCACCAGCGGGTTCTTGGGTGTTCCGATGGTATTCTGGTTGCAACTCTTAGCAGCCGCTTCCACAATGTAGACTTTGGACATGGATCACTCAGACTCCATGACCCAAACCTCCCCAGTGTGTAGGGAAGAGAAATTCTTCCAGAGGTGGGAGCTGAAGACCTCACTGACAGGGCCGTCTGCCAGATGTTCCCAGACCACTTGCACTACGCGTTTAGATTTAGTAGGTCTGTCCAGCAGCCTTCCCCAGCATCCAATTAGTTGACAGTTCTGCTCCTCTCTGGAACCCCTTCCAGGACCCCACCCAGATACTCCAAGAAGGCCCCTAACTGCTGCTGGGTTCATATGCACACACAACAGCCAGAGCCTTCCTGTCCACCATCTGTTATTTCTATTCTATAAGCTTCTTTACACTTTTTGAACAGAAATAACTCAAATTACATCAGACATCTATTTTGAATGACATTTTTTAGAATATCCTTTAGATATTAAAAATTAAGATAAACTTGATTAAAAATCGACATCATTCATCCGAAACATGGTTTGAAAAATTCTGGATTCAGATTTAAATAATACTATCTGTATATAAACAGAGTATAATCCTTATTATGATAATCTTAATATTATTATAATATGTAATGATGTGTGTGTACTGGGACCTTGAGGCAGTAGTATCCGATGATGCAGAAGAAGGAGATGACAGTGTGCAGAATGGCAAGGATTCGTAACATAGGCTCCATGTAGCCGCTGCTCTCCTCCAGAACGAAACGCACTGTGACCGGCTTCAGCACCTCCCCTGCCTCCTCCAGCACCTCCTCCTTCACCTCCGCTGCTTCTCCTCCCAGAGGGTCCCACTGAACACTGCTGTCTAAACGGCCGCTTGTCAACACCACCTCCCTCTGCTCCACCACGGAGGAAGATGTGGAGACCTGCAGGGACAGACATCAGGACTTTGACTGAACGGTAACCGAGAGCATCAACCACGAGAGCGAGATGAGGAACAAGCAATGCTATTAACACATGATAACACATATTATTACCTTATAGAACATGAACACATGATAACACATATTATGACCTTATAGAACATAAACACATGATAACACATATTATTACCTTATAGAACATAAACACATGATAACACATATTATTACCTTATAGAACATAAACACATGATAACACATATTATTACCTTATAGAACATAAACACATGATAACATATATTATTATTTTATAGAACATAAACACATGATAACACATATTATTACCTTATAGAACATGAACACATGATAACACATATTATTACCTTATAGAACATAAACACATGATAACACATATTATTACCTTATAGAAAAGCAGGATGAAGTTGATTGCGAAGGCGACAAACAGGGCGAGCATCCTCATGTTGTAGAAGTTTCTGGCAAAGTAATTCTGCAGCAGAGAGTGAGAGAGGCGGAGTTAGAGTGATTCTAAATGATACAGGCTGTTTATTACTCTTTAATATTCACACTGTTTACATTTAAACCTATCTGCAGTGTAAGACGAGAGCTGTCCTCCTCACTGATCATAAACATCTTCCTGATCAGACACTGACAATATTAGAATCAATCACAGGTGTAGTACCAGAAGCTTCCTCTGGTAGGCGATGATCTTCTTCAGGACAGCAGACTCCTGAAGGTCGGGTTCATCAGACTTTGAAGTGTGAAGTCTCTTTACTTTGGGTATCGTCTTTTCCTTCTTCTCCTGTTTCTCCTGCTTCTCTACAACCCTGAAAACAAACACTGAACAGCTCTAATGATCCCAAACACACTGAACAGCTCTAATGATCTCAAACACACTGAACAGCTCTAATGATCTCAAACACACTGAGCAGCTCTAATTATAACCACATTGAGCAGCTCTAATGATCTCAAACACACTGAACATCTCTAATGATCTCAAACACACTGAACAGCTCGAATGATCGCACATACACACTGAACAGCTCTAATGATCACAAACACACATTGAGCAGCTCTAATAATGTCTCAGATCCTTTAGGTTTCATTTGTCTTCAGCGTTTCATGAAACCGTTTACAGGAACATTAACGTACTCTGATGTTTTCTCTGGTTCCGATTGTGTGTCTGCTGTCGCCTCTTTCTCCTCACAGGAAGGACTCTTCGACTGAAACATAAAAACACACAAACACATCAGATAAGCTCAGCTTCTTTATCATCAGCACTCCTCTCTCTCTCTCTCTCTCTCTCTCTCTCTTGCTCTCTCTGTCGCTCACTGTTTGGAACAGATAACCTCAGCTACTCTATCCTCATGTAGTTATGATTTAAGTCCTCTCTGTCTCTCTATTATGATTATTTAAGATAAACTGGATTAGACTTTAAACTCTAAAGAAATCAATCAGAGACCAACCTGATGCCTCTGTCTGAGCTCAGGTGGGGGTGCTGTGGGTGGGGCTTGGGGTGTTGGGGAGGGTACGGGGGAGTTGAGCAGCTCGGTGAGGCTGGCATTGGGGTTGTGGGGGGTGATCTTGTATTGCCCCCCCTCCCTCCTTAAGTCCAGACCAAAGATGTCCGACAGCAGCTCTGTCTCGCTGGTGTTCACCGCCAGGTCGGCCAGGTCCTCCTGAGGGGAGGGTCTCTTCTCACGCTCCTCCCCCTCTCCCCTTACCTCGTCCTGCGTGGGGTCGGGCATATTGGCCAGCAGTTCGGACACCTGGTGGGGGCAGGTAAAATATAATCAGCAACAGATTGTACTGTGTTCAGGTTTTTATTATAGGTGTGATGTTCCCTCACCTTGATGGTCTTGGCCCCCTCTACCAGCCCCCCACCCATGAAGCTGTTGTAGAAGATCCTGCAGAAACCTCTGGCCACGCTAAATGCCATGTGCAGCAGTGCTAGCAGGAAGGACCAATAGAACGCCATCAGGGTGGTCAGCAGGTCCTTCAGCGTCATGTTTTTCATCCTCTTCACCTGCTTCTTCACACTCTTCATCGACAGAACCTGCACACACACGATATCATATTTCTGTTTTTTCATCCACCAACCAACTAAAACGACTTCATAATGTTTGTTTGAATGGAGGTCACATTGATCACTTCTGATGCATTCAAGAACGCCAGGAAATCTAAACGCTGATTGTTGATGCTGCGTTTAGTCCTTTAGGTGTGGGGCGTCAAAGCGGCCGTCAACTAGGCTTATTACACCATAAGCTGAGGGAAGGGGGCTGTGTGTTGTTGTGTTGCTGTGTGTGTGTCACCTTTATTAACATCATGACGTTGTAGCGCAGAGCTAACAGAGCCATACGGACGGTGGTGACAGAGAAGAAGCCCATCTCAGGACTCTCCTCGTCGGGTTTCTCTCGCTCGCTCTCCTCTTTGACGGCCGAGCGCTCTCCGGCGTCGGACATCTGAGCTGCAAGCTGCATCTCAAAGATGGTGTCCTCACAGAAGTTGACAAACAGCTCCATTTTCTCCTTCTCGCCTCCCTCGTTCACTACGTCAAAGATGAACTGACGCTTGGATTCCTTCACCTGGACGGGAGAAAAAAAGAGAGCAAACATTCCCATTCAATCAGCCCTAACCCAAACTAGTGTCTGTAACTGTTTCCTGTCTGTAGATGTTTCCTGTCTGTAGATGTTTCCTGTCTGTAACTGTTTCCTGTCTGTAGATGTTTCCTGTCTGTAACTGTTTCCTGTCTGTACCTGTTTCCTGTCTGTAAATGTTTCCTGTCTGTAAATGTTTCCTGTCTGTAACTGTTTCCTGTCTGTAACTGTTTCCTGTCTGTAAATGTTTCCTGTCTGTAACTGTTTCCTGTCTGTAACGGTTTCCTGTCTGTAACAGTTTCCTGTCTGTAACTGTTTCCTGTCTGTAACTGTTTCCTGTCTGTAGATGTTTCCTGTCTGTAACTGTTTCCTGTCTGTAGATGTTTCCTGTCTGTAGATATTTCCTGTCTGTAACTGTTTCCTGTCTGTAGATGTTTCCTGTCTGTAACTGTTTCCTGTCTGTAGATGTTTCCTGTCTGTAACAGTTTCCTGTCTGTAACGGTTTCCTGTCTGTAACAGTTTCCTGTCTGTAACGGTTTCCTGTTTGTAACTGTTTCCTGTCTGTAAATGCTTCCTGTCTGTAACAGTTTCCTGTCTGTAACGGTTTCCTGTCTGTAACGGTTTCCTGTCTGTAACTGTTTCCTGTCTGTAAATGTTTCCTGTCTGTAACAGTTTCCTGTCTGTAACTGTTTCAGTTTCCTGTCTGTAACGGCTTCCTGTCTGTAGATGTTTCCTGTATGTAAATGTTTCCTGTCTGTAGATGTTTCCTGTATGAAAATGTTTCCATGTTTCATTTCATGTTGTTCATTGTCGGCACCTGAGGCTTCTCCCACTGCGTCCGGCTGGACTCGCTGATCTCAAAGTAAACCCTCTCGATGCGTTTGGCACTGCCCATGATCTCAATGCGTCCCAGGTAAGGCTGGAAATAATTCAAGACGCTGTCGGCCAGCTCCAGAAACGTCTGTAGCCGTGTGTCATGAGGCATGTGCTCCGACAGGTTGGTCAGCAGGACTGCCACATTGAAGCCTATGTCCTAAAGAATCACAGAAAACACTTTCACGGAATGTTTCCATCAATAAGAGTTCAGCAACAGAAGGTAAAGAGTTAAAGTCGATGTCCTAGAGAATCACAGAAAACACTTTTACTACACTCCCTCAACATGTAGTAAATGTGAGACTGAATTCTCTGAATCTATGTGAGGGTGTTTATTCTCAGGAGCGTGTGAGCTCTGACAGGAAGTGTGAAGCTAACCCTCTTTAAAGAGGATAAAGTCAAGAAGGTGACACACATACAGGATGCTACCAACCAGTAATAGTTTTTTTTTTAAAGATGTATTTTTTGGGCTTTTTGTGCCTTTATTGGAGAAATGGGACAGTGGATAGAGTCAGAAATCAGGGAGAGAGAGAGAGTGGGGAATGGTATGCAGGAAAGGAGCCACAGTTTGGATTCAAACCTGGTCCGCCCACTTGAAGGACTACAGCTTCCATACATGGGGCGTGCGCACTAACCACTGCGCCACCAGCACCCCACCAGTTATAAGCTTTAGATTCTCTAAATCACTGTCACATCATCATGTAGAAGACTGTTTAAAGCAACCCTAACCCCCTTAACACTAACCCTCCACTGTCTGAATGTTCTGGTTTTGGTCAATGGTAAATGGACTTGGGCTTGTATAGACTACTCAAAGCGCTTTTACACCGCAGGTCACACCTACAAATTCATACACTCATGGTAGAGGCTGCTGTGTAAAGGGACCATCAGAAGTAACTAATCCATTCATACACATTCATATGACGTCGTGACGAAGCATCAGGAGCAACTTGAGGTTAGTGTCTTGCCAAAGAGACCGTCGGACATGTAGCTGCAGGAGTTGAGGATTGAACCCTCAGCCTTCCGGTTGAGAGACGACTCTACCAACTGAGCCACAGCCGCCCACAGATCGTCAGAGCAATCCAACATGTCCAATCCAACTAATTAACCCAAAATGCATTCATAAATACCCCTGACTCTTTTAATCCAGCCTCACTGATGGAGAGTCGAAGGAAAAGAGCTGAATAATCGAGTACTCCTAATAAACCTGTGTAAGAAACTGGACCTGGGGACATTCCTGGGGCGGCAGTAGCTCAGTCTGTAGGGATTAGGGTTGGAGGGTTGCCAGATCAAGTCCCGGCACGGAACAAGTCTGGAAATTAGTCTGGTACCTGGAGAGGTGCCAGTCTACTTCCTGAGCACTGCCGAGGTGCCCTTGAGCAAGGCACCAAACCCCAAAACTGCTCTAGAGCGCTCACTGTGCAGCCCCCCTCACTCTGAGACCATTAGTGCATGTCCATGGGATCCTGTTTGTGCATGTGTGTGTATTTCGGCCTATGTGTGTGTTCATGTTCATTAAACAGAGTGTAAAATCTAATTTCCCTTGCGGGATTAATAAAGTAGATATTAGTGGTATTATTATTATTATTCATACATCTTAAAGTCTGATTCACAGGTCACCATGGTTACCTTGGCCGGCTCATGAAACCTCTCCACAAACTCCTCGTAGTCGAGCAGCTCGTTCTCGTCGGTCTCAGCACAGGACAGCAGGAAGTCGGTTTCAGATTGGGTGTAGTGTTTGTGGCTCTCCATGGCTTTGTGGAAGTCTCTCTTGGAGATGACTCCTGCCCGTTCAATCAGAGATAAACCATCATCTCTCTGTTCACATATTCATGTTCATGTGATGTTTTTATAGATAGGTTTACCTTTCCCGTCGGGGTCGTACTCCTTGAAGGCATCGGACGACGTCAGGTCCTTCAGTTTGAGGAACATATCGAAGAACTTGAGGATCATCTCCACGTTGTTGGATGACTCCACCAACATGTCCACCATCTGCTTCCCAATGGTCCCGTTCACCACGTTACCTGTCCAATGAGGATTGTGTTATTCATGGTGTGTCTGCCTCCTGTTTCATATATGACACAGGTATGTTCATGAAGGTGAACCCACCCTCCAGCATGGACAGCAGCATGACCACCATGTCCTTCTGCAGGTCCATCAGCTCCTTCAGTAACTCGATCTGACTGGAGTCCTGGAAAAACAAAGACATTATTATCTGATCATCTTTAGACTAATATCCTGCTAACATGTTTAACAGAAGTGATTGCACATTTACGTCCTTCCTGCTCTGACAGGTGACGGCCTGAGAGAACTGAGGTGGGATACACTTCACCATTAGCGGTTATATGCAGATGATTCTCTGACATATTTCACTAACTTTGGTTAAATATTGTATATACCTCCCGTGATTAATGAGAGTGTGTTTTGGGTTTGATGTCTTGTTTCGTCTCCGATGAGGTGAGCATGTTCAAGTCTACCTGTGTAACTATGACATGAAGTATGGCGAGAGAGAAGGACATAAAGTACAGGTGTGTGTATGATCCTCATAAAGTCACCTGAGACAGTTTCATCTGCATGTGAGCGAAAACGTGAAGAAAGCCGACCACAGCATCCCACAGCCGACTGTGAGCCAGACTCTGCTGGTTCCCCGTGCACGGACCCTGTGACATCATCAGGACCACGGTGACATCATCAGAAACAGTCAGATGACCATGCATAAACAGAATAATGATGTGATCAGAATAACATCTTTATTATTATTATTATTATAATAAACGTGACTTGATCATTCACACATCAGAATCATAAAAAAATGAATGTTTGATGACTCAGCAGCACAACGTTCTGACGCTTAAAGATATTTTGATGTTCATGTGATCATGTTCAGAACAGTGAGGAGCTCAGGTGAGACTTACCTGGATGTACTCGGTCAGAGTGTTGAACACCTGTTTGGCCACATTTATCGCCTTGGAGAAATTCCTCTGACCCTGCTCGTCAATCACGTCTTTACCAGAGTAATACCAGTAAAAGTCACTGATGGACTCCTGCAGGAGAGAGGAGGAGGAGAGAAAGGAGAGAGGGGGAGAGGAGAGAGGAGGGGAGGAGGAGAGGATAGTTGGAGAAGAGAGCGGGGAGAGAGGGGAAAGGGACACCTCAGTAGTCCATCACTCTGTTTTAGGATATGTGGCATCAATAGTCTATTATTGATGTATCAGTCCGCCCCCTTTATTTAAAAAACCTGGCCTACAGGGGGTAACGGAGCTCACCTGCACTCTGAGGAGGTAATCCACCGTAGAGATGATGATGTTCACTGTCGTGTTGTTTCCAGTCTGAGTCCTCAGATAGTTCTGAAAGTCTGAAACAGGAAGTCACAAAATAAAATAGCTGATGTTTTAAATGAATAAAAAGAGTAATGTTCAAATGTCAGTCATTTAGAGTACGACATGAACATGAGGACTGAATGAAGATCAGAGGTGGTTATAAGTGTCTTTAATCTGCATTCTCTCTGATGTCCAGCAGGGGGTGTCTGTTTGTACAGAAATCTATTCTCTCAATCTCCAATTAGAGTCAAAAGACCAGCTACCTGTGACTGACAGGTCGTAACCATGGAGACATGAAAGATGTCTTGTTTAAAGAGCAGTTGAACTAAAAGACACTCTGAGGAGTCTTTAGTCAATAAGACATTTTCATTTAGTTAACAGTTGTCAACATGGCAGTCACTTTCCCCTCCTATAGACGGTCTACGGTCAGACAGTACGATCAGATCTACACTGAGGAGAGTTAACAGGTCAGATATCAGTGAAATGTGCTCCGATCAGCAGGTGAAGTCAGACATGTAAAGTCTACTGCGAGCTTAGAAATCGACTCTCTGCTTAAAAACATTTACAAACACACGCTGCTTAAACCAATGAGAGCAGAGAAGCCTTCAGCTCAGCAGGTTTTAGAACTTCCTCTGTTAGAAGAATAAACGTTAATGTTCTCTCCTCTGACACTCAGGAACTGTTTTTATTTCACATCATTATAATGAAGATGAAACTCTACCTGACAGGGTCACACCTAAAACAGTCTGAGGAGAAGATTTGTGATGTCACATCCTGGTTTATTGAATCAGTTATTGTCACAAATTAAGCTCACATACCTGAGTTGTGTCCTTCACACAGCAGCTGCAGGAAGCGGAAAAGGTCACAGGTGAACTCATCATCCTGCATGACCTTCTCACCTGGCCGAGAGGAAAAACACGCACACACACACACACACATACACACACACACATTCATGCACACATACAACACACATGCAGACACACGTGTGCACAAGGACAGGAACGTGCAAACACACACACATTCATATAAACACACAAACACACAGAGTCAGAGACAGAAGCAGACGACATGAAGGAGAGACGATGAGAGGGAACAAAGAGTTAAAAACAGATGTTTCCTCTCAGTCAGTCAGAATACATAACCAGTACACACACACACACACACAAACACACTGGGATGAGCAGTGGGCAGCCACAGCACTCAGTGGTGGTCTAAAGTGGACTGGTTTAACCACGGCAGCATTTTACAGTCAGCTGTGTATGGTGGCTCAAAGGTGAAACTCACTGCAGCAACCGGAAGGATTCACATGAGGACAAACGTTCAGCCGAAAGGTAAAACAGAAACATCGACAACCAACATCCCGCAAACTTGTGAAAAACACCAGAAGACACACACAACTCTAAGACGCTGCCCCCCCATCACAACAGAAGTGCTCCAGGCCTGCAGGGGGTGCTCAGGGGAAGGCCTAGACAAGGCTCTGAATTTAATGTTTACACCTCTACCTGAACCTTGAACCACATGGAAGTCCAGACTGACTCTCCCCAGGGGAAAGGGGGGGCTTTGACCCCACCGATGATGGAGACACGGTGGGCTCTACCCCGCCCCCTCCTCTATAGAGTGGATGCTCACGCAGGTTGCCATGTGGTGGACACTGAAGCTTCAGTGTTTAGCCAGCTCTGCATCGGTCTGTAAACCTTTCTACATTCTAACCTCTCTCCGTTTTTCAAAAGCATCTCCAATATTGATCCTAGTTTGAGCACGTTTCTGCTCGTGGAGCTTATTAGAAACATGCCTTTTAAGTCGGGTACAATCACTTCTATCTGAACCAGTTCTCTTGCAACACCTGTTGATTTGACCTGATAACTGGTCTCATATCTGGCAAATCGAGGGGCGTCCAAAACCGCCACGTGGGGGGTGTCTGAAAACCTACCTTCTCTGGACCAAACAAATCCAGAGCATTCAGGAGCAGAATCTAAAGTTAGAAGGAGGACATACTGGCTGCTGCATTGTTGTCAGAGAAGCCAGCACTTCAACGTAGCATGTTTCCTTAATGTCTGATCATATAGGAAGGTCACTTTATCATTTCACTCACTACACATCTTACTGATTGGACCTTTAACTAATCCATTCATACACATTCACAATGGGAGAAACTCAGTGTTAAGTGTCTTGCCCTGGGACAAAAAATAAATGTGACTTCAGGAGGCGTGGCTTGAATCCCCCACCTTCTGGTTTAGAGATGACCTACTCTACCACTGAGCTACAGCCGCCCACTGTGTGGCAAATATGTTTTACCCACGTCCAGTTGAACATGGCGCCTCCTACAGGCCTGGAGCACTTATGTTATTGTGACTTGATATGCTGCGTCTTCTGTTGCATTCGTTTTCTGACTGTCTCAATTTGCACCAAGGATTTATTTGCAGTATGTTAACTGGTAATGTACTTGTTTTGGCTTTTTGCAGCAGGGTTTTGTTATTGTTTTGTTGGACTTCTGTATTTGATGTTTCATTTGCATTGTGTCTGAATTTGCAGCCAGTTTGTCCTGGTGAAAATCTTTTGGTTTGTTGCCCCTCTTTGGCCTTCAGAGGTCTGGATTTGAGGAGGCTGAACAGCTGCTCTGACTGAGCTTAAATGCTGCTTTGAACCACAGAGTGCAAAAGTAAAGGAGGGTCAGAGAAGAGGATGAGACACAGTAACTTAAACAGTAACATAAATATGAACAGATACATCATTACAGTGAGACAGCTGGCTGAACTGATCTGCAGGTCTGGAACAAGAATGAAAGTGCACTTCTCTCTTTAAGTGGCAGTGAAGCATTTTCCTTTCTTCAGATCAGTCCCAGCAGGATGGCACAGGCAAAAAGAGCCAGATTCCCAAGGCCCCCTGCAATTTTCCACCTGTCAACCAGATGGCCTCAGTCTTTACCTTTTCCCCCGTATACCCACCTCTCTGTCTCCACTTCACTAGCAGTCTCACCGCATGAGTCTCCCTGTCTCTGCTCGATGATGATTGTCTGACTCTCACCCCAGTCAGCATAACCTGCATCCCAGAACTCTCTAAATCCCCAAATGGTTCCCCACTGACGCCAAGCCAGGTCCTGACCATGCATCCCAGCCAACAACTTTTCCTGCTGACCCTAATCTTAGAACCTAGTAATCCTGCTGCTGGGTTGATCAGAATCTCGCACATTCGACACCCTGCCTGTACCAGTAACACAGCCTTCACCTTACTCTTTGAAAAAAGAGAACCAAAATCACTGACACTGTATTCAACAATCCAGAAGATCAGCGCACCTCAGGAAGTCCCATCAGAATCCAAACCATCTTCATCTTCAGACACATCGACCTGGTTTCTCTTTGACATAAGTGGTTCACTTTGGGTTTATCTTTAAACTCTGACTATTCAGGACTGTGACACAATAAACTCATATCATCTCAGGTGGGCCTTTAAGCAAACACTGCTTTTAATGGTACACTGGGGCACAGGTATTTCATTTCAATAGTTCCTGAAATTTTTTCTTCCAAAGAACATGTCTGTCAGTGACTGCAGATAGCCTGACCTGCTCACACCTGTCTGATCCTACCTGCTGGAACATCTGTTGGTTTTTAAGGACCTTCTGATGGTCAACAGGAAGTTGTTCCCTTTGCATTTGAAAGAATAAACAAACGACTGTTAGGTGATCATGTAAATGCACTTTCAGGCTTATTCCAAACCCATTAAACAAGGTGAGGGGAAGACAGTGTTCAAGGTCTCAAAATGTCAGCTCATATTTTATTCTTAACTTCTAGATAATTTGATATCTACCTTCAAATAAAAATTTTAAACTTTGATAAGATAAAGGCATCAAATTTAACTTAGTCCATGAAAAGCTATAAGGCTGTTACCGTACACAGCGTGATGCATGACTATACACAATCAAATTATGAGTTGAAAATACAATACTTGGGAGAAAATAAGTCAAAACATGAAATCATAAAAAGGAAGAGTTATTCAAATTAAATGAAAAATCATGAAGGACAAGACTAGTGACCACAGACCACAGCTCAGTCCAGGAAACAGAGAGAGGAGAGGAAGGAAGCAAGGAAGGAAAGAAGGAAGGGACAGAGTTCATCTCCTCCACCCTTACAGTAACATGGTTGTATACTGACACCTCGGTTAAGTATAACACTTAAAAAGAAGAAAGGTAGAGCAACAGGTAGAGCTGAAAGGTAGAGCAACAGGTGGAGCTGAAAGGTAGAGCAACAGGTAGAGCTGAAAGGTAGAGCAAGAGTTAGAGCTGAAAGGTGGAGCCACAGGTAGAACTGACAGGTGGAGCAACAGGTGGAGCAACAGGAAGGGCTGACAGGTAGAGCAACAGGAAGGGCTGACAGGTGGAGCAACATGTAGAGCAGACAGGTAGAGCAAGAGGTAGAGCTGACAGGTAGAGCAAGAGGTAGAGCTGACAGGTAGAGCAACAGGTAGAGCAACAGGAAGGGCTGACAGGTAGAGCAACAAGAAGGGCTGACAGGTGGAGCAACAGGTAGAGCTGACAGGTAGAGCAAGAGGTAGAGCTGACAGGTAGAGCAACAGGTAGAGCTGACAGGTGGAGCAACAGGTAGAGCAAGAGGTAGAGCTGACAGGTAGAGCAACAGGTAGAGCTGACAGGTGGAGCAACAGGAAGGGCTGACAGGTGGAGCAACAGGTAGAGCAACAGGTAGAACTGACAGGTGGAGCAACAGGTAGTGCTGACGGGTAGAGCAACAGGTAGTGCTGACGGGTAGAGCAACAGGTAGAGCTGACAGGTAGGGCAACAGGTAAAGCTGACAGGTAGAGCTGACAGGTAGAGCTGACAGGTAGAGCAACAGGTAAAGCTGAAAGGAAGAGCAAGAGGTAGAGCTGACAGGTAGAGCTGACAGGTAGAGCTGACAGGTAGAGCTGACAGGTAGCGCTAACAGGTAGAGCTGACAGGTAGAGCTGGCAGGTAGAGCAGACAGGTAGAGCAGAAAGGTAGAGCTGACAGGTAGAGCTGACAGGTAGAGCTGACAGGTAGAGCTGACAGGTAGAGCTGACAGGTAGAGCAACAGTTAAAGCTGAAAGGAAGAGCAAGAGGTAGAATGTAGAGCAGTCAGGTAAGGCTGACTGAGCAGACAGAGATGAAAAACAGGTCTGCAACTACTGGAGAGTTCTGTTTGTTTACTTGCAGATGATTTTGAGCTTTAAGCGCTTAATTATAACCAACTTACGTTTAACTGTTTCAAAAAGTTGACATAGCCTTTGACTTCAAACGTGTTGTAAACATGCATTCTTTCAGGTCGCCAGAAGGGGCAGATTCCAGGGGTTGTAAAAAATTGTCTGTCTCTTTGATAAGATAAGCATTCTCCTGAACTGATTTATTACCTCAGTAAAAAAAGAGGATATGCGGGATATAATAACGGACAAATTAAATTAAAAAGTTATCTCTAAAAAGAGGATAAAGAAGAGAAAGGGTCTGCTTTTAAGAAAGCCTGAAAGACCCTTTTAAGATGGCCAGACACTTGCTAGAAGAGAAAAAGAGTGGCAGTATGGTCATGCTGAGAGAAGAACTTAAAGATCATCTAAGGAGGCAGATTTCAGATCATGCTCCATCCATGGAACTTCAAGCTGAGTGTAGTGAATGACGTAGTTAGAAAAAGAAGGTCAAGCTTCGGCCCTGGACCTGGACCTGATGATATTCCAAACAAGTTCTTGAAAAAGATACCAAAGTTGTGAGAGACCTCTGGAAACTGATGAGGCTGATGTGGGAACGACTGAAGGGTCCTGTGAAGTGGTGTCAAACTGTGGCCATCCTCATTCCAAGGGAACAAGAATCCTCTGCCTTTGGTCAATATCAAGGCGGAGAACTGCAATGTATAGGGCAAGATTTTCTTTTTATTACCTCAGTAAAAAAAAGAGGATATGCGGATATAATAACGGACAAATTAAATTAAAAAGTTATCTCTAAAAAGAGGATAAAGAAGAGAAGGGTCTGCTTTTAAGAAAGCCTGAAAGACCCTTTTAAGATGGCCAGACACTTGCTAGAAGAGAAAAAGAGTGGCAGTATGGTCATGCTGAGAGAAGAACTTAAAGATCATCTAAGGAGGCAGATTTCAGATCATGCTCCATCCATGGAACTTCAAGCTGAGTGTAGTGAATGACGTAGTTAGAAAAAGAAGGTCAAGCTTCGGCCCTGGACCTGGACCTGATGATATTCCAAACAAGTTCTTGAAAAAGATACCAAAGTTGTGAGAGAGCTCTGGAAACTGATGAGGCTGATGTGGGAACGACTGAAGGGTCCTGTGAAGTGGTGTCAAACTGTGGCCATCCTCATTCCAAGGGAACAAGAATCCTCTGCCTTGGTCCAAGAAGCAGCAGGTCCAGTTCATGCTAGCAGGGCAAGTGGGGCAAAGCTTCCCCACACAGGGCAATAATCAGTCTGACTGAGAGCATACCTTCACAAGCAATTACATTGTCCTAGTGAAGTTACCAACACCACAATGAGACCGGCATCTTCCTGTGGTCTGAATGGGGTGGCAGTACCCTGAGAGAGAGGCTGTATAGCAAAAACCTGCCCAGTATAACTCAGCTGCTGGGGTTCTGTGAGCCTCTCAACCAAGCGCTTCCTGGTAAACATTGGCTCAATGTTCAGATGTATCTGAATTGATCTGAAGTAAGAGAAAAGAGAAGTTTTTGGCTCTGGCTTTGGAATAAACCAAGAGCTGGTAGAACCAAGAAGTCTGCTGCAGGGACGGCATGTTCCTGCCAGCTGCCCCACCATCCTCAGATATTCTGGGATTTAAGGGGTCAAACATCAGTAAAGTAAATGGTAAATGGACTTGAGCTTGTATAGCGCTTTTCTAGGCTTCTGACTAACCAAAGCGCTTTTACATTGCATGTCACACCTACACTTTCACCCCCATTCACACAATGATGGTAGAGGCTGCTATGTAAAGTGACCATCAGAAGTAACTAATCCATTCCTATGCATTCGAGCAATTCGGGGTTAAGCGTCTTGCCCAAAGACTCATCGGACATGTTGTTGGGGATCAAACCATTGACCACCGGTCATGGTGGCTCTGTCCTCTTCCATTAGATAGTCCATGTGGCTCAGTCCTACACTGATTCTCTTTTAGTTCTGTATTTGTTCCCCACCAGCTCCTGATGTCTCTTCTTAGCTGCTGAATGCTGCCCTGTATTCAGCAGCTGGTTTGGTTAAGGGTTACTGTTTGCTGCAGAGCTGATCTTGTTTAGTCGTGTACTTCTGCTCCTGGGACAACCTGGTCTCTCACAGACATCTGATTTACATTCAGCTCAGTTAAAATAAAGATTTATGATCAAGGCCAAGAATAATCCTTTTATCCATGTCGCTATCCTGAATTTTAAACTAATGATTTTCAACTGGAAATATATGTATTCCTTATGAAGGTCATTTCATGTACAGTATTCTACTGGGACCTCTGGGACCACTGTCACCACTGTGACCACTGAGACCTCTGGGACCACTGGGACCACTGAGACCACTGGGACCTCTGGGATCACTGAGACCACTGGGACTACCGAGACCACTGGGACCTCTGGGACCTCTGGGACCACTGGGACCACTGGGACCACTGAGACCACTGGGACCTCTGGGACCACTGTGACCACTGGGATCCCTGGGAGCGCTGGGACCACTGGGACAGAGGTCTGGGGTGATGTTACAAACACAGGACTTCCACCCAGCAGACCAGATGTCTTTTCCAGTTTAAGAAGAAAGTTCAGATATGAAGTTTGAACTGACATAAGTGATGGTTTTTCTGGGTCATGGTGACGTATTTGTTTGGTTTAGGTAAATAAAATGTTATCATCTTTAATAATGTTGATGTTATCTTCAGGGTTGTAATGGGACAAAAGCAGCTCTGCTCTGGGTGAAAGAGAAAGATCTTTGGAGTGTTGCAGGTTTGAAAATACTGTCATATAAATACATGAGTTTCAAAAGGTAAGTCATGTCTTTTTAAACAATATATTTTCTTGACCACATAAACTATCTACTACTAAGTCAGCAGCTGGTTCAGTTGGTTGTAGATGTCAATGAGAGCATGGAGGGTGCTAGACAGTTAGAATGAAGAAGAACCAAAACCTCCAACTACAAGAAGCACACACCCTGCAGAGACAGAGGTAACTCTCTCTCTCACAGTCACCTCATCACAGATACTCATCTGAAAATGCATGGAATGAGTATCTGCTCTAAGCTCTGATCTTACAGCCTTTTGTTTAGTTTTTATTGTGTTCGTTGCAGCCTGCAGAAAGAAGAAGAAGAAAAAGAAGAAGAAGAAGAAAAGGAAAAAGACAGACTGTTGATGTGAAGAGACTTCACAACAGAGAACATCCATCACAAAAACCAACTCCATCACTGAGGCACAACAAGCAGCTGACTGCATGTCGACTAGACGAGTGACGGGGGGAGGGGGGGGGAGGTAAACAGTCGTATTAGTGATATTTTGGACTGTGCCAGATCCTGTACACATCCTGAGAGGGAGGCAGACACCCTGCAGCTCTAAATCTGCCTGAAACTTCTTCATTTAATCCTCATTATTAGTTTCTTATTGTGGTGGAGAGACGTGACACTAAACCATATAAAAGACAACCAAGGGAACAAATTACTCTAAACAAAGAGGGGGCAGAGGAGGAGCTTAGAGCAGGAAATAGAGGAAGTTTGGAGGTCTACACTCAGGAACTGGACAGAACTGGACAGAACTGACACAACGACTAAGCGACCTCCGAGAAACAGAGAGAAACAGAAAGAGCTCAACCAACACACAGGAAAATGGCAGGAGGCATAATTACCACGCTCATGAGTGATGACTGAGGAGGGGAAGAAAGTGCAGAAAACCAAAATGAGAAAAGAAAAACAGGGGGAGAAAGAAGGAGAGAAAGAAAGTAAGAAACAAAGAAACTGAAGATTACACATAGGGAAAAGAGAACGTTCAAAATGTGCAGCTTATCACTGTAGTCAACATGAAAATCAAGTTTGTGTTGACAGAAAGAGCTGCACAGGTCGGTCAAACCTGGTGAGAGGTGTAAGAAACAGAACAGACACCAAGGCTCAGCACTGTTTCATTCACCTGCTGAGTTCAAAGCTCCTATTTGAATTCATGACTTGTTGAGGCAACAAAGAGATTATGAGAGGCTGAATTGAAACAATAGGTGCAGTAAAGATTCATTCAAAGTCAGCGTTAGTGTCTGCCTGCTTTATAGAGTTCGAGGAGCACGACCACACCTCAACCTAAGCTCCTCCCACTTTGTCCAAACCTAACCCTCTCCTCCTCGTCTGCTCTCACACTCTGCACACAACCAAGACGCTCTCACCCGGAATGACGTTTCCTGTTCTCCAGTATGTTCTTCTCCACTCTTTAGTTCAGATTGTGATTCTGTTGAACTACACGTAGCATTGATAAAAAAGACAAATATTGTCATTATGGAGTCGTATAGAGGACTCTGCTGCTTTGTTCGCTACTTCTACGTCGTTATTTTTACATCATGTCTCCTGAGACCAGGGGCGTGTCCAGACTGCCACCCCAGAATCCAAATCTATGGTTGGCTATTTGCATAATCAGAGGCGGGACTTAAGTACAATAACAGCTCCTTCACCTGACTCTTAATCTCAATACTGCACCTATTATGACGTGATGATACTTTATGTACCATAATGACCACACACACACACACACACACACACACACACACACACACACACACACACACACACACACACACACACACACACACACACACACACACACACACACACACACACACACACACACACACACACACACCTGTAGGTCCTTCATCAGATCACAGGTGGTGCATCAGAACAGGTAACTGTGATTTTAACAGGTGTGACTAAATGAAATAGAGATAATCCTCAGACTGCTGACAGGATGGAGAGATGATAAACACTGAAGCTTCATTGGATCTAAAACGATGAACCAGTTGGAAAATGTTCTCTGTCATATGACATCTCAGTGCTGCAGACCTCAGTGCTGCAGACCTCTGAGAAACACTCTTTGCATGTTGAGTAATCATTATTATGTAGCACTATGAAGCTAATCATTCATCTTCAGGAGCCTTTTACTGACTAAGTGTTGTTGTTCTCATACTGACCTGATCCCTCCTCGGTCACCATGCCCAGACCTTCTGCTTTGTTCTGACGCTCAAACGCATTCAGGTCCAGAACACTGAAACACATGCACACACAGTCTGAAACATACTCATCAGAAACACTGACTTTAAGCTTTGTCTTGTGTATTTGAGCAAACAGTGAAGCTCTTAGGGGAAACAGAGTCAGAACAGATCTGTCTGCAGGATACACACACTGTCAGTACATCCATGATATTATCAGGCTGTGTGTTTGTACCTGCAGGACTGCATGAGACCAGCCAGACTCTGGAAGAAACCCACATCCTTCTTATCCTTCAGATAGTCCAACATTTTCTTTCAAAAACACAGAGGAGTCCGATTTAAGACAGGAGTGCAGCAGAGAAACATTATCATATAAAGAGAGTTGTTCAAAAAGCTACAGATCTTCAGTCAGATGTTTAACCAAAGCAGGGAACGAAAAGGAAGCAGCAGGATTCTACTCTGCTGACAGTGTAGAATCCTGCAGTTCCTCGAGTGTCCACTAGAGGCTAGCTGTAGAAGCACAGGAAGTCACATACACACCCATTCAAAAAAGCCTTTACAGCACAGATTAACATGTTTACAGCCTGGTTAAAAAAAACAAATAGGTCTGATTAGCTCATGTCTCAATCAGCACACACTGTACGGGATGTTTTGATGACTCATCCGTTTTGATTTGATGAAGGATAAAGTCTGGTTTATACTTTTGCATCGAATCCACTCAAATCAATCAGGCTTTATGATATTCATAGTTAGGGGCGTGGGTTAGGGTTTTCCTGTCTTTAGGTCAACAAAGGCAAATTTTTCAACTGTGGTAGCATGACAACCTGAATATGAATATCTACACAGTAAGATAATAACTGGTATTAATTAATTTATGATTATTAATGTGACACAGGCATGTGTAAGAGGAACAAACACACTCCACATGTATCGTGGGTTAGGGTTAGGGGTTCACAACTTTTAGTCCAACGTTCATGTCAACACATCACATTTGTTTGTCTTAATTAGTCAAAATATTACATCTTAACATGTACATTTATTACGTGTCAAGACGTGTGCACCATTAAAACTATTGGACAATTCCCCAAATATACACACCCATCTGAAGTAATAGTCAGGTGAACCATATGTAGTAGTCACTGACCACTGCGTAGAGTTCAAGTGACCACGACCTTGTGACCTTGTGACCTCTTTGTCATTCTATGGTTAAATCAGGTGCCATATGAGCAGCTGTGAAGTCTTTTGTTCAGCCCTCTTTTTAGACTTTAGACTTTAGAGAATAGAGAGAATAAAGTCTAAAGTCTAAAGTCTTTTTAGTGCAGGGTGATTTGAAATCTGGAGTTGGAAGATAAACCAAAGGAAAAATGGCATTGTGAAACGTTCTGAACCACTGTTGGGGAACTTTTACAGATTAGGTTAATGGGTTCACAGCTCCTCCTAGTGGTCAACCAAACGTAACCAAACCAAATACTAATGTCTCCAAAAGAGCTAAACAGGTGATCTCTTACTCTCAGTCAGGATTAGTGAGGTACCTGTTGGACCGTCGAGTTTCCTCCATTCAGGATGGCGATGCCCAGCTTCAGAGTGGATGCCACCATCAGACCCATCTCACCTGCGCACATGTAACACACACATTAATAAAGCAGAGTTTCAGTTTGTATTGTCAGCAGGTATCACTTTAACATGTGTCAGATTATAGTCTGCTCTAACATCCACACTTGAACTCTTTCATGAACCTTTGCTGGCGCTGATGGTCTGAAGAACCATCTCTGCTGCTCCTCTGTCGTGGAGACGAGCCTGCTGATACAACAGCTTCTGTTTCTCCATCTCCTTCTCCTGATCAACACAGAGAGAGACAGACAGGTTATATACAGACAGACAGACAGACAGACAGACAGACAGGTTATATACAAACAGACAGACAGGTAATATATAGAGAGATGTGTTATATACAGACAGACAGACAGACAGACAGACAGACAGGTTATATACATACAGACAGACAGACAGACAGGTTATATACAGACAGATAGACAGGTTATATACAGAGAGACAGACAGGTAATATACAGAGACAGACAGGTTATATACAGACAGATGACTTACTTCAAAGCTCTTGACTTCCTCTCCATCCTCGTCCTCTTCATCATGACAGCTCTGAGAGACAAGAAAGAGAGAGAGTTAATAAAGAGAGAGAGTAAAGAGAGAGATGATGAGGTGTACGTAAACTAAGTTATAGAAATGTCGTTTCAGGTGTTCATTACCTTTGCCATGATGTCAGCGTACGCCATGTATAGGTTATCTTCATCCAGTTTACTGCACACACACACACACACACACACACACACACACACACACACACACACACACACACACACACACACACACACACACACACACACACACACACACACACACACACACACCAGCATGTGTTTAATCTTTTTATTTTCATTTCAGAAACATTAAAGAACAGTTTTATTTGTATCACTGACTATCTGTAATCACTGTCCCTGTCCTGCAGCTCTGTGAGAAGCCGACTGTAGAGAGAGAGACTCTGGTTCTGTTTGAATCATTCTGAATAATGGACCACATGATGTTCTGGACCAAGTCTGATAAATACACTTTATACTGTCACAGTGTGTGTGCGTGCGTGCGTGCGTGCGTGTGTGTGTGAGTTACAGGGATGAACACTGACCACTTCTCGGTCAGGGCTGTCCTGCTGAACAGCTGGATGAGCTGATGAAGAGGATCGATGTTCTTTAGCCCCTCCTCCTCTTCACACATCTCCTGATCACCTGGTTTCTGAAATAAACAAATAAATACGGACAGGATAAGTCTGCAGCTTTTAACAACACAGAAGAAGAAGATGGTATCTTCCTTTTGACCCAGACTCACAGCGAGGTCCTCGATCAGTTTGTCCTCAAAGTAATGCTCCTCAGCCTCGATCCACGACTTCTCATAGCCCTGCAGGAACAGGTTCACGGCACGGTGCCTGAGGGGGGACGTTAACTGTTATAACACACACACACACACTCTCTGCATATATCCTGTCACATGATGCAGGCTCACCTGGGCAGGTTGTAGAGAGGAGCCATCCTGAAACAGGCCACAACGGCTCTCTTCCTCTGCTTGGAGAGAAGTTTGTGCCACACGGCCTTCTTACTGCGCTGAGGGTGTTCAACCTGCACACAGAGACAGAGAGAACATGCAGTCATCCTGTTCTAACAAGGATTCAGTTACAGAAGCTGATTGTTTACACAGGTGTGTATTATTACACCTGTACAGGTCAGAAACTTGCTGCCAATGTCATCTGTGAGGAGCTGTCACATCTGGACTCACAGAGTGATGCTGTGACAGTCAGTAAGGACAAAGTGGACCACTTCAACCTTAACAGACTAAAATATCATGGCTCAGCTTCCTGACACCAAGACTCTCTCAGACTCTCTCAGACTATTTTCACTTTGTGTTGGCGCCGTGAGAAAAAAGAGCTGAGTGTTGGAGTGTAGTCAAAACTGAAAGGTGAGCTTCAGACAGGTGAGCTTCAAACAGGTGAGCTTCAGACAGCTGGGCTTCAGACAGCTGGGCTTCAGATAGAAGAGCTTCAGACAGGTGAGCTTCAGACAGGAGAGCTTCAGACAGGTACGCTTCAGACAGGTGAGCTTCAGACTACACACCTGGTCCAGGTGAAAGAGGACATGAGCGATGTCCAGCACTCGGTCCACAGTCCTCTCAGGATCAGACGAGTCCTCTGGGTGGTTTGGTAGATCTCTGTACAGAGCCATCTGCCAGCGGATCGCCGGGTCCTCCAGCTTTCAATGACACAGATATCATAAATATAAATGTATTAACAATGTAATGATGTGATCTGTAATGACATCGTTTCATTCAATATGTCACCTTCCCCTGAAGATGGAGGTTGTTCTTGATGATCTCTCTGACTTCCTCCTCTGTGTCTTTCTGTCAAACACACACATCACACACACGTTAACATCAAACCCATGTTAACATCACACACGTTAACATCACAAACACACATTAACATCACACACACGTTAACATCACACACACGTTAACATCACACACACATTAACATCACACACGTTAACATGACACACGTTAACATCACACACACGTTAACATCAAACCCATGTTAACATCACACACGTTAACATCACACACGTGTTAACATGACACACGTTAACATCAAACCCATGTTAACATCACACACGTTAACATCACACACGTGTTAACATCAAACACATGTTAACATCACACACACATTAACATCACACACATGTTAACATCACACACACGTTAACATCACACACACACGTTATTAAACATTGTGTTATTAAACATCGCGTTATTAAACATCACGTTATTAAACATCACGTTATTAAACATCGTTATTAGACATCACGTTAGTAAACATCGTTATTAAACATCGTTATTAAACATGTTATAAACATCGTTATTAAAAATTGTTATTAAACATCGCGTTATTAAACATTGTGTTATTAAACATTGCATTACTAAATATAGTTATTAAACATGTTATAAACATTGTTATTAAAAATTGTTATTAAACATTGCGTTATTAAACATTGTTATTAAACATCGTTATTAAACATTGCGTTATTAAACATCGTTATTAAACATGTTATACATATCGTTATTAAAAATTGTTATTAAACATTGCGTTATTAACCATAGCGTTATTAAACATCGTTATTAAGCATCACACTATTAAACATCACGCTATTAAACATCGTTATTAAACCTGTTATAAACATCCTTATTAAAAATTGTTATTAAACATCGCGTTAATAACCATAGCGTTATTAAACATCGTTATTAAACATCGTTATTAAACATCACGCTATTAAACATCGTTATTAAACATTGTTATTAAACGTCTTTATTAAACATGTTACTAAACATCACGTTATTAAACATTGCGTTATTAAACATCGTGTTATTAAACATCGTGTTATTAAACATCGTGTTATTAAACATTACGTTATTAAACATCGTTATTAAACATTGTTATTAAACATCTTTATTAAACATGTTACTAAACATCGTGTTATTAAACATTACGTTATTAAACATGTTACTAAACATCACGTTATTAAACATCACGTTATTAAACATCACGTTATTAAACATCACGTTATTAAACATCGTGTTATTAAACACCACGCTATTAAACATCGTTATTAAACATTGTTATTAAACATCTTTATTAAACATGTTACTAAACATCACATTATTAAACATCTTGTTATTAAACATTACGTTATCAAACATCATGCTTACAGGTTACAGGTTCAGGTTCAGGTTAATATTCGGCATTTCTCACCTGGTTGAACCTGTTCTTGGCGAGGGCGATGAGCTCGTGTTCTCCAGGTGCACAGGTGTTCAGACCGACAGGAAGCAGACGTTTCAGAGTGGCCACGATCAGACTGGTCTGCATGGAGTATCGATCGCCCTTCCTCTTCATCTTCTTCCTCTCCTGGTCCGACACGATGCCCTGAGAGGACACAGGAGTGAATCAGGAGAGTCTTTAAACTCTGGACAGGTGTGGTTCACCTGTTCTTGCCTTTATGATAATATGATATTATGATATTTGTGTTAATATATAAATATAAAGAAAGATGAGATGACCCCTGACCTTTGACATCTTACACTTAGTGTCTGTGATGAGGAACGACATATTGTTGATCTCGTTCTGCACCACAAAGTTCTGCTCCTCCCTCTTAAAGTTCTGAACACACGCAGCACAGGGGAGGCTTTATTATGAGAATCAATATATCCATAAATATTCATAAACACTGTGCTTACAAATGAATACATAAACAGTGTTTTTAATGAAGACAGTTTTGAACTGAATAGTGAACATACGTGAGATTTGGCCCAGAAGATGAAAACCTCGGCCACCATACGGAACAGATCCTCGGCCTCTGGACTGGACTCCTTCAGCCAGCGAGCCCTGACACCACAACACCACACATTACTCCATACTCTGTGATGTCAGTGTTTATATGGTCCAATCAGAGAGCTGAGTACCTGTTGTAGTCGACGAATCGTATGAGCAAGGGGTAGAAGGCGTACAGGTCTCTGACCAGCACAGTGAACTGATCCATGATGAGGAGCTCCGTCTCAGACATCTCCCCCCGTCCCTCCGCCCGACTCTGCTCCTCGTCCAACAGGACCACCGCCGCCTTCTGTCCAAATATGAATACATAAATCTTTATTTGAACACACATTTATAAGCTTTTCTCTACAGCTGTATGATGTGAAACTCACAGAGTATTTCACATGTAAGGTAGGTAAGGTAGGTATGTAAATGTCTAGAAAGAGACTCACCTTCTTCAGTTTGTCCATGAGAGGCAAGAAGTGAGTTTTTAACAGCTCAGGTTTAGCTTTACTGATGATCGGCTGAGAGAATACTGAGGAGGAGGAGACGAGAGGAGGAGGAGAGGAGACGAAAGGAGAGGAGAGGAGAGGAGAGGAGACGAGGAGGAGACGAGGAGGAGGAGCAGGAGAGGAGAGGAGGAGGAGGAGGAGGAGAGGAGACGAGAGGAGAGAAGGAGGAGGAGAGGAGACGAGGAGGAGACGAGGAGGAGGAGCAGGAGACGAGACAAGACGAGAGGAGACGAGGAGGAGGACCAGAGGAGATAAGGACAAGGAGGACGAGGAGGAGGAAGAGGAGGAGAGGAGACATGGAGAAGACGAGACATGGAGGAGGAGGAGAAGGAGGAGAAGAGGAGATGAGGAGGTGAGGAGGAGGAAGAAGAGGAGGAGGAGAGGAGACATGGGAGGAGACAGGAGGAGGAGTAGCAAGGATAAGAGGAGGAGACTTAAAGAATTAAAATCAACGATGACTTTTCCTACAAACACGAAAGGCTTTTTTCCTCTCATACTGTAAAATGATGATCAATGAAGCTGGTGTGGGATGTGTGTTGCCATGGTTACCAGCCAGCCTCTTCATCCATGTGCCCTCGTCGACGCCCAAGTTGTTGTAGATGATCTTCAGGATGTTCCCCAGCAGGGAGTTCATGTGATCAGAGGTGACCGATGTGCAGCATGTGTCACGCCTGTCCAGGTGACTCTCTGCTCCGTGCTCCCACCAGTGAGACATGTAGCTGCACAGCATGGGCAGCACCACCTACAGGAACAACACAACATTACACACCTGTACAGGTAAACCTGACATAACACTGTGTGCATAAAAACAGGTGGAGGTAATGTTTTTTCTGTTAAATAAATGTTTAATATAAGGTTCAATAAGATGATCTGACCTCCATGACATGAGGCATCTGGTTATATCTCATGCCCGACTCTGCCAGCTCCAAGATCTCCTCCAGAGACTTCTCCAGGTTAGGGACCAGCGGACACACATCCTCCACCTGCTCAGGTAGACCCAGAGCTACAACAGGGAGGGGGGCATGATGTAATAAAGTGTAACCTGCACAGAGCTCAGAGAGTTTATCACACACTCAGATACACACTGATATACACACTCAGATACACACTGAGATACGCACTCAGATACACACTGATATACACACTCAGATACACACTCAGATACACACTGAGATACACACTGAGATACACACTGATATACACACTGATATACACACTCAGATACACACTGAGATACACACTGAGATACACACTCAGATACACACTCAGATACACACTGATATACACACTGATATACACACTCAGATACACACTGAGATACACACTGAGATACACACTCAGATACACACTGAGATACACACTGATATACACACTGATATACACACTCAGATACACACTGATATACACACTGATATACACACTCAGATACACACTGATATACACACTGATATACACACTCAGATACACACTCAGATACACACTGATATACACACTGATATACACACTCATACACACTGATATACACACTGATATACACACTGATATACACACTGATATACACACTGATATATACACTGAGATACACTCAGATACACTCTCAGATAAACTCAGATACACACTGAGATACACATTCAGATAGACACTGAGTGTCTGTGTAGTGTGTACCTTTTGTGTCAGTGTAGTGTGTACCTGTTGTGTCATTGTAGTGTGTACCTGTTGTCATTGTAGTGTGTACCTGTTGTGTCGATGTAGTGTGTACCTTGTGTCGTTGTAGTGTGTACCTGTTGTGTCGATGTAGTGTGTACCTGTTGTGTCGATGTAGTGTGTACCTGTTGTGTCGATGTAGTGTGTACCTTGTGTCGATGTAGTGTGTACCTGTTGTGTCGATGTAGTGTGTACCTGTTGTGTCGATGTAGTGTGTACCTGTTGTGTCGATGTAGTGTGTACCTTGTGTCGTTGTAGTGTGTACCTGTTGTGTCGTTGTAGTGTGTACCTGTTGTGTCGATGTAGTGTGTACCTGTTGTGTCGATGTAGTGTGTACCTGTTGTGTCGATGTAGTGTGTACCTGTTGTGTCGTTGTGCGCTCTGTTGTTGTAAATGGAGAAACTATTGAACTTGTTGATTTGCGGCTCGAGGAAAGCGACAGGAAACGCTGCAGAGAAGGCTGCCAAACATTTCCCCAACGCCGGACGCTGTCTGCAGGGCGAGAGAGAGGGAGAGAGAGAAAGCGAGAGAGAGAGGGGAGAGAGAGAAAGCGAGAGGGAGAGAGAGAGGGAGAGAGAGAGAGATTGAATTGAATGTTAAATGAATCATCTTTCATGTATCTCATTAGATGTTATCAATCTTTACCTCTCCACATAGATGCTCTTGTTGGTTCCCAGCAGGTAGAGACTGTTTAAGATTCTGTAGCAGGAGACCTGAACATCGTCCACTGGAGGAGGAAACAGAACTTCAACATGTATATATATATATAACGAGGAGCATACAGACTCAGTCCTCACAGACACACATGTAGAGATCAGTACGTACGTATGAGGTCCTCTCCGAAGCCATGCAGGCCCACGTGTTCGAACAGCGAGGAGAGGACGGGCAGCAGGGCGAACGTGGTGTAGTTTATGATCTGAGTGACTCCTCGAGGCTGATCCCGACTGTGAGTGAACTGACCCAGCTTCAGGTTCTCCTGAGTCCGCTCCAGATCCTCGGCTGCACTGACGAAGAACGAGCACAGAGCCACCTTCACCGACTCCAGACCGGTTTTCATCACGGTCCTAAATGATAACAGAGGTTTAATTTGATTTCATTCATGACAAAATATACATCATTCATCATAAATCATTGATTAAAAAGGCTTTATATAATTAATATTAAGATAGAAAATCAAGCTGAACTTGAACTTGTTGATGTGCGACTCGAGGAAACCTGCACAGACTCTAGACTGAACTTTATGACGTCACAAATAACATCATCAGAAACTCTGCAAGTCTTCAGATTGAAAGATTTTAACCTGACGAAAGATGTTTTACCTTTAATATCACACACACACACTCTGACACACACATTCATGTTGGAGTGTGTGTGTGTGTGTGTGTGTGTGTGTGTGTGTGTGTGTGTGTGTGTGTGTGTGTGTGTGCGTGTGCGTGTGCGTGTGTGTGCGTTTCCCCACCTGGCATCCAGACTCTGACCCAGGATCTGCAGACAGTTCACTATGGAGGTGGCATTGTTACCTGGACAGGTGAGAGGGTCACATGATGAACATTTACGACTCTGAACATTGGAGTGTGAGGATGGAACACACAAACACACACACAAACGCACACACGCACACACGCACGCACACACACACACACACACACACACACACACACACACACACACACACACACACAAACACGTGTTGTGTTGTGTGTGAATCAAACCGGTTATATATGTGATTTTATGAACAACACAACAAATACACACAACAATAAAATTAATCATTAAAGTAATTTCCACTTTAACCCCTACATTTGTGCAGTGCTGGGTTTGACCACTATGAGCGCTGTGGAGCTGTGCACACACTGTGGGTCCTTGTTTTGAATCTTGATATCTTAAACTAAACATATACTCAGTATGAGCTTTATTTTTTCATCACTTTAACTTCAATCGTCACTTATCATAAAATCAATATTCTAAAGCTTTTCTCCTCCGTGGTCCGGAGACTCTGGTGACAGCTTCAATAACATTTTTAAATCAACAATCAGTACTCTGGACGCTGAGTATCGATTAAAGAACATCAGGACACTAATATGTAGAACACAAAAGATGTCTTACTTATTGATGGATTTACAACAAGAAGACACCAAAAGAACCATTTAAAATATGATGTCTTACTAAGTGAGTGTGATGTCTGTGTGTTTGAGTATGTGATTCATTTGTACATGCAGCCATTTATGTGAGCTCACATTCACTCACATACACAGCAGCTCTGTTCAGCAGCAGATCGTTTAGACGTGAACACAACTGTGAGACTGAAACCAGACAGGAGAGCAGCTGAGAGGTCAGAGAGAGTCTCAGGGTCTGATTCACTAAGAATGATAACAGTCTCTAATGTCTCCATTAATCCTTCATCATGTTCTCCCTCTATCTGCTCCGTCTCTGAGTCTAACTCTCAAAGCAGATAACTATCAGGCTTTCTCACACTGACAGAGCTGCACTCTCACACTGACGGAGCTGCACTCTCACACTGACGGAGCTGCACTCTCACGCTGACGGAGCTGCACTCTCACGCTGACGGAGCTGCACTCTCACACTGACGGAGCTGCACTCTCACACTGACGGAGCTGCACTCTCACAATGACGGAGCTGCACTCTCACACTGACGGAGCTGCACTCTCACAATGACGGAGCTGCACTCTCACAATGACGGAGCTGCACTCTCACACTGACGGAGCTGCACTCTCACGCTGACGGAGCTGCACTCTCACGCTGACGGAGCTGCACGCTGCGCTCTCACGCTGACGGAGCTGCACTCTCACAATGACGGAGCTGCACTCTCACAATGACGGAGCTGCACTCTCACACTGACGGAGCTGCACTCTCACACTGACGGAGCTGCACTCTCACGCTGACGGAGCTGCACTCTCACACTGACGGAGCTGCACAGAGCTGCACTCTCACACTGACGGAGCTCAGTTCTGACCACATAAAGGCCGAGATGATAAGCTGAGGGAGAGGACATCTTTTATTGTGCAGGCAAGGCCGCTGATGTAACCCCTGGTTAAATAAATACTATTCATGTCAGAATCATATTTACAGCTTTTATTCTGAAGACATACAGAGGTGGAATTGCTCTCCTGGTCACTGAAAAGTTTAAACGTGACATCTGTAAATACTGCGGCACAGTTACCACCAACTCTCAGAAGACAAACATTTTTCACTCTCACCGTGCTTGGCTGTTAGCGCCCCCTTGTTTGTAAGATAGAGTCTTTTTACAAAGGGGATTAAATACATTTAAATACAACCTGCACCGACGCACAGAGACCCAGTTTGCTCTGCAGTGCATTTAGAGGAATAGTTAACCCTTTGTGTGTTTTTGTGAATCAGACGAAATCATTGACTCATTTGCAGCTAGAGAAGGAACATCAGCTGCACAATCCTTCAGTGAATCAGACCCTCAGAGTTCCTCCACGATGATACGAGCAGTTAATCCATCATGCTGCACACACAAACACAGATCAACAGCAGAGAAGAGGAGATTAAGCATGAACATCCTTACCAAATAAAGATATCCTGTGTCTGACCAGAACTCCCAGTTTGCAGAAAAGACTGAAAAGGTTGAAGGTGGAAATTTAGAGAGGGAATCAGAGGAAGAGACAAGACGATCAGAGGTTTGAAACAGAAGGAGGGAGCAGCAGAAGAAGAAAGAGACGACTCACTCTGATGACTGTTACCACCTGAGCTCAGTGATACAGTTACTGATCATTTAAACAAGAACACAAAAACATACAGGTGTCTTTACTTGGTCTCACCTGGTCACCATCTCTTTCTCCTTGTTGGAGGCGTGGCCTCCACTGCTTATTGGATGGATGGCTGTGGACAGGAAGTAGAGCCTATGGTATTTGAAGTACTGATCCACCAACGGCAAGACCACCTGACGGTTTAAACACACACAGACACACACAGACACACACAGACACGCACGCATGCAAATGTAAGGTCCTAAGGTAAAAGTACCATAGTACAGCCAAATATATCAGTTCATAGACCATACTATTATCCAAAATTCCATGGGACATTTTTGTCAAAATATTTGAACCATACATCCCACAGTTTATACTTTGACAAAAAACTATTTGATGAAATAATGGACAGAGGCAAATACACAATACAGTAACTCAATTTATTTTGTAATTGATTTAAATATAATACAAATAATAAAACTATTAAATCAACCCCAGTTTTCAACCTCACCATTTATCTATTTTTTTATTTGTATTTTCCTCTCACTTTTGTTTAATCTCTCCCTTTCTTCTTTTTTTTCCTCTTTTTCCTTCTTTTTTTCTTTTTGGTCCTGTGGATTTTTGGATGCGAATACGGAAGAGGGATTTTTGGGAGCGTCAAACTTTATTACTATTACACAAACTAAATGATAACAAAGATCATCTGAGAAACTAATATGACAAAACACAAAAGACAATCCCTGACTGAGAAGCACAGCAGCTCCCAACTCCAAAGAGTCTCTCCTCTCCTGATTCTGCCTGGTGTGTCACAATTTCCTTTCAGAGTGAGCTACACTGGTACTGCCATGGCAACCTTCAATGTACTGTGGTGTGGATCACACAGGTACCATGGGACCTAAGTGATTAAAATTATTTGGTAGTAGCCTAGCTATTATGAGTTGACACTATACAAATAAAGATTGATTGATTGATTGATTGATCTGAGGAACCATAGTAATAACTGGAGTACTGCAGTTAGATAATGTGATATGTACTATAGTAATATGCGAGGTACTATAGTATACCATAGTAATTACCCAGGTGCTATGTATGTACTATGGTATACCATAATAATTACCCAGGTACTATGGTATGTACCGTGGTATACCATAGTAATTACCCAGGTACTATGGTATGTACCGTGGTATACCATAGTAATTACCCAGGTACTATGGTATGTACCATGGTATACCATAGTAATTACTGAGATACCATAGTACGTACCATAGTTTACCATGGTACGTAATATGGTATACCATGGTAAACTTTGTTATGGGGAGCTAATAGCTAAAGGCTAACAGTTCACAGCTAACAGCTATGCACTTACAGTTAAGAGCTATTAGCAAATGGTTAACAGCTAACCATTAGGCGCGAACAGTTAAGAGCTAAACAGGCTGATAAATATAATTAAATGTTATTTTCTGACCTTTCCAAAGAATTTAATCTGCTGTTCATGAGGAATCTTGTCTCCTTTCAGTCGAGTTCCCAAATCTGAACAAAAGGAAGAACACAGTCACATACACATTCATGTTTCAGTAGTTATTTATTATCATCTGATTTGTTAAATGTGAATCTGTGGAGTCAGTCAGAGTCCAACAGAGAAGTCAGAGTCCTACAGAGCAGACAGAGTATTGCAGAGGTTCACACTGGTCTCTGGATACATCTTTTGATTCATTAACTTTTAATTCACAGAGAATACCTGCAGATTTATATATCATACTTTGACCTCATATCACTCTTGAATTCAGGGCGCAGGTACAGAATGCCTAGAATGAGGACTAAAAGAGGCATTACATCCTTTGTACCGCACAGTATTTAGGTGCTTAATAAGAGCTGATTATACAGGGCGAATTTGGCACTCTGCACTTTATTTAACTTGCTGAAATCCCTCATTGAATCATGTGATGCTTTAGTGTGTTTTATGTGTTCTTTTGTGCTGTCCTGTAAGAGTTTGTTTGTATTGTGTTTTTTATTCTCTCTGTGCAAGGCAAATTCCCCTAGGGGCAATAAAGGTTTCATTCATTAATTCATCATATAGAAGCTACTGCTGATAATGGAAAACAATAACTTGTTCCTCATATCAACTGCTGAAGCATTAGCATTAGCCAATGTTAGCCACTCCCATCACGTGCGTCCAGGCTGAGTCACAGACAGGATGTATCATGAACAGTAATTATTGTATTTCTCACCAAACTCCATCATGTGTTGGTGAGCCTGGTCAACGTATGTGATGAGCTGCTGCAGGAAGGTGTAGGCGAAACGCTTCTCTATGGCAGGCGTGTCCAGCTCCTGAGACTTAACCCCTCTGAAACACACAAAATACACACACTTAAACACACAGAATACACATTCTGAAACACAAAAAAAGAACCGTCTGAAACACACAGAATACACCCTCTGAAACAAACTGAATACACGATCTGAGACTCACAAAATACGCTGTGAAACAACAAAACATCAAACTTTGATGTGTTAGCTTAGCTCTGATGTGTTAGCTTAGCTCTGATGTGTTAAGTTAGCTCAAGTCCAATGTGTTAGCTTACCGCTGATGTGTTAGCTTCTTTATTTTCCAAGTTTGGTTTGAAGCTATTCTTTCCCAACATCAGAGTAATTCTCCAGCTCTACATGAAGTCTCATCAGGCGAGTTTCCAGGTGAGATGTGTTTCCTTTACCTGTGTTTGAAGTGTGTTACCTGGACACGGTGTATCCGTTGATCTGCAGGAACTTGAGGATGTCCTGAGCTCTCTCTCTGTCTTTAGATTTCTCTTTAGCCGTCAGAGTGTCGTAAGGAACCAGCAGAGGATGGTTTCCTCCTCCTGATCAATAAAACATCACAGGAGAGAAGAAACACACAGTCGGCATCATCACCTCTGATTCAGGTACACAGGTAAAGCTCCACGTCCTCCATCTTTGTGACTTTAAATAAAGCACACGTAAAAAACAGTTCAGATGCTGTTCTTACCTTTAGCCTCCAGCTCACTTTTCTTCTTCCTCGCCCAAATGTTGTGATAATTCTCAGCCAGCAGCTCAGCCATAGACTGAAGACACACACACCTCCAGCTTAATCTCTGTTTATAGACGATGTCATGCTGTTTATAGTCAATTTAATGCACAGTTTGAATAAATACATATCTTATATTTATGTCTGACCTGCATGTCTCTGGACAGAGTGACGTTACTCATGTCGATCGGTCTCGGGCTGAAAGATGAAGTTCCTTCAAACGACAGCTGAGACACACACAGCACATGTACTGATGTTAGCTGAGACACACACACTTCATGTTAGCTGATACGTATATATAAAAATGATTAAACTATTTAAGGTCTGTGTCCCCCTTGCCCAGCGTCTTTTCTCTGAGCGCTTCTGGTTGAAAGTCTTTCAATATTTCAGAAGGGCGCTGTTGATGGCACTGGCGCCCTGTTCAGCCAGCCAATCATATGGTAGATGGGTCAGATCATGTCGTAAACCCACATCCTCCTCGCTCCGTGTCTGATCGGAGCCAACATTATTTTTAAACTCATCAACCAGACAAAGGAGGAGGCCAAAGTTGTGTTTGTGTGTGTGTGTGTGTGTGTGTGTGTGTGTGTGTGTGTGTGGGTACCTGGCTGGCCTGTGAGATCCTCCTGGACTTGTTGTGCAGGTTTGCAGGGTCTCCTTCTCTGATCCTGTCAATGCTCCAGCCCCACGATAACATTGTCTTCAGAGACTCTCTGACAGGAATGCAGTACGAATCCTTATCCTACACACACACACACACACACACACACACACACACACACACACACACACACACACACACACACACACACACACACACACACACACACACACACACACACACACACACACACACACACTACATTGTTAGATGTAATTTGACATCAATAAATGTGAATTAAAAACTTTAAATGTTGTGATACTGTGCAGAAGAACAGCTGACTGCACAGAGTTACCTGCTTCAGGTACAGTATGCCATCACAGTCACACCTTTACCTTCTCAGAGAGGCCTTTGTAAGGTTTCAGTAACGGTTGACTCTTAGAGAGTTCACAGAGCTGCTCTCCAAACGACCAGCCGCTAGAAAACTGACAAACACACACGTTTAAACCAATCACATTCATCTACTCCTAATTTATAACATTATATTATAACACTGTAATAACAATACGACTCTTTGTCTAACTACTCATTTTAAAATATTATAACACAGAAACAACAGGTAACCATGTCCTCACCTTCTCTATACTCCACTTCTCATGGATGTGTTCTGCATATCTGGAGATAAAATAATCCAGTTTCTCTGGAACACAAACACTGACGGACACAGAGAGACAAACAGAAACAGCTGTTAGACTGAACTCACATTAAAGTACTCTGATTATAACAACAGAACATGATCATATCTTATAGAAGCCTAGTGTTGCAACTGTGGAATATAAAAATAAGAATCGGTATCATGCAGGCTGTACAGTTTAGACGTGTTCTATTTAATCCTCCCTGACCACCAGAGGCAGTGCTTTAAGAACTGAATGATACCATATCCAGCATGCGCAGGTCGAGTAGCTATACCAACAAAGTAACCCGATGATGGGTTAGTCTATATATTCCGGTGTCATCAGAGGATCAGTTCCTTTACATCTTGCTCGCAGGTATTGGACTATCGTAGTCGCATTCACTTTTGAGCTAGGCGCTGGTAGCCATGTGACCATTGTCGGTGCTGCTTCTCTTCAGTCACCCTCGAGAGGCTGAGACAAGATTGGCCTTTCTTCTGTTTCTTTAAGTTGCCGTCCCTAGGTTGGTCGCTGACAAACTTGTTGGTATCAAAGTTTATTTTGCTGAAGGTAGTGTGTCTTCGTCCACATCCAGTATAGTGTGTTTTCAATTTATTTTTTGTTGCATTTAGCTAAGGTGCCTGAGCCAACCTGCCAATGTTGCAACAATGTCATGTTGGCAACTGGGATGCGTCCATGCTGTCTTTGTTGAACAGGTTTGATTTGATTTTCTAAGTAGTGGGCAGCATTTTGCTAAAACTAACTGGTATCACTGTGGCAGCACCATTTGTAGGGCCCTGGCTCGTCTGCAGCTGGACCCTCCTCAAACACAGCCGCCTCCAGCAAATGCTTTTTGAGCGCAGTTAGGCCCTAGCAACCTTCACAGTGCCTCCCTCATAAGGGTAACTAAGAGAGTTTCATGCACGCTGGAGAGAATTAAAAGCCCCCTCCCAAGTTAGATTTGATGGCTGGGCCCTCGCAGCTATGCAAAATGTAGCCAAGTTCAGGTTAGGCCACTTGCCAACAATAAAGCCAACCATTGCTGATTTTATTGTGTCTCCAGACACAGTTTGCGTCCCAGCCTCCCCACTTCCCCACTTGAAGATTCACAGTATGCATCAGTCCACAGTCTAAGTGATGCGTCCCTGCATCTAGATGCTCTTGAACGGACCATCTAGGCTGGACAGACCAGGGAGCATCAGGACACCAATCCCCCCACCATCCCCCTGAGCCTCTAAAGGCTGAGGGGCCAGAACCTCAGGCCTTGGGATTGGATTGTCGGTTGTCTGCTTCAGCAGCAGGGCAGCTACTTGGCTGCTTTAATACCAGATGCCCACCTTCAACACCAGGTGGTTTCCACCTTAGCACAGGGGTACCAACTGCAGTTCAGATGTTGGACCCCAGCCCTTGACCAGAAGCTGTCTGCTCTCCTGGGCAAGGGAGCCATCGAACTAGTAGAACCCTTGGCTCACCCTGGGGGGAACTCACATTCTTGTGACAAGAAGGACGGCAGACTTGACTTACATCCATGGCATCTCAACAGGTTCCTAAAGGTCATGCCCTTCCATATGCTCAGCACTGCAGAGGTCCAATGTACTGTGGACAGGGTGAGTGATTTTGAGCCAACCCAGTCACAGGTAGCTCAGGACAGAGCTCTATTTTCTTGTTGAATGCCAGGGCACAATCTACCCACATGCAGTACGAGAAAATGTGGCATCTGTTCTCAGCCTTGTGTGCGGACAGAAATGTGGAATCTAAGTGCTGCTCTGTGCCATCCATCTTGGAGTTCTTGTAATTCCTCTTGGATTCTGGCCATTCCCTCTCTAACCTGAGGGTGTATGTAGCTGCCATCTCCTCTCCACACCTTCTGGTTGACAACAGAAGGGGGGGGGCTGTGAGGTTTTGTCCACCACAAGCCCAGAGAGAAGCAACTTGGGACCTGCCCACTGTGCTAGATTGTTAATGTTTGACTCAATTTTAGCCCCTGGCAGAAGCAGGCCTAAAGTGGTTATCAGTGAAGACTGCCTACCTTTAGCCAATTCTACAGCAAATTGGTGTGTAGGAAGCTCCATGCCTTGTCTGTTAGCCCCACATGGTTCAGGATGCACCCCGAGGAACCAGGGGTCAGTGTATGCCACAAGCCGCATTTCTGCCAAAGGTTGTATCAAGGTCTCAATCAGCCCATACAGCTGGCACGTTTTGACCCTCTGCCAGGTGAAATGGACACCAGGTTAGAGCTGTTGAGCCCTGTGCAACCTTAAGGGCATATGTTGACAGTACAGCAAGGATACAAACTTACCAACTTGTTGTGTATTACGGTTGTCCAAAAAAGGGTTTTGCTCTCTATAACCCTGAGAGGGGTGCCCCTGGAGGCCATTTGTGCTGAGGCCTCTTCGACTTCACTGAGTACCTTCACAAGGTTCTACGGAGGGAACATCCCCACCCCCCATCTGCTGGGTGTGGGGTTGGTCTATTGGGTATTCCTCTTGACTATGTTGATATGAATCATCCAGTGCTTAATTCACCACCTCTGGAAGTCAGGAAGGTTGAAATAGAACTAAAGTAACTATTGTTCTATGAATCCTGGATTGCTGCCAGGGCTTTCAGTCACTCCGAATCGTCATGTCTTTGTGAAAAGATTCTGCAGGAACAGATCCTCTGACTAAACCAGAATATATTGACCAGTCCAGGTCATCATGGTCACATGTGACTTTGTTGGTTTGTTGGTATAGCTACTAGACCTGAGAATGCGCGATATGGTATCATTCAGGCTTGTTATAAATAAAGGTGTAGTATACTGTGCAGTGTCTGCAGGCTGGGGGGGTTTAGACTATTTATAAATAAAGGTGTAGTATACTGTGCAGTGCCTGAAGGCTGGGGGGTTAAGACTATTTCTAAATAAAGGTGTAGCATACTGTGCAGTGTCTGCAGGCTGGGGGGTGAAGTTTCCCTCGGAGTCCATGGATGACTGTTTCTCCATCATGGCCATGTAGTTGGACTCCATGTAGTCTGGAGGAAGAGCTCCGGCCACGGCGCTGAGACACGGCAGAGCGAGTTTAAACAGCTCCTGATCGTACCTCTGCAGCACCAAAACACAAAATGGTGAATTATTATTAAAGTTATGATTTGACTTTTGATTATTATTGTTTTATAAAGTGTCATATGACACAGCAGTGTTAGACTGCTTCTGCAGGTTTAACCCGCTGATCACTCAGACACAAACCTTTAAAATAATCAGGTTATATGAGGATGTTTGTCTGCAGAAGAACAAGCGACTGGGCTGATGAAGTTTTTGTTCAGTTATAAAACATTTCTGCAGAAATGATCACATGTTCAGAGTTTAACATAAAAAGGGTTAGACATGATATTTTCTAGCTCTATAGTGTTAGCGTCAAATGTCAATTCTGCACTGTGATCGATTACAATTAACAAGTAACAAGTATAAGTCTCCAGGAGTTAGACCTTATAATGTAATCTGTTGTCCAAAGAGATATGGCAGGTCCAGCAGACAGATGCTAACAGTTGCATTATGGGAAATGAAGGATTCACTGTTCATAGTCTAAATATATAAAGAGCCTTCTGCTTGGACTCTGTTAAATCGTTAATAAGTCCCTGTATGACACAAACAGTGAAGACGAGCCTTGATAAATAAATGTATTATCTTCATCATCAGATTGATTTGATGTTCTATAAACTCAGACGTGAAGTGCAGTCGTACCTTGCGTGACAGAGCATCAAAGATCCCCCAGAAGAGTTTCCTGGACAGATGCAGCTCTTCATCTGAAGCTGCTCCAAAGTTCCCCCAGCCTCCAGCCAGACAGTAATACTTCCAACAACGCTCGTAGTGATTGGTCAGCAGCTGGAGAGAGGCGGCACCACAAACATTAATACCTGATGGACTCTGAGGACAACTGCTGATGTTTAACATATTTATATTAATTGAATATAATAAAGGAGACACTGATGCCGTGGTAGAGAAACACTGAGCTAACAGCTTCATGAGATACATAATGTGACAAAGCTTCCTGTAGTCACAGTAGCCCTCCTCTCACAGACACTGATGTGTTTCTACCTTTAAAGGCATCTTGGTGTGTTCGTTGAGCAGCGGGACATCAAACACCAGCCTCCTCAGAAGATGCTGCATCATGGACGGCCTCAGCTTCCTGCACAGTCACCACATCACACACGGTAGTTACTATCCCTAGGCATTGTAGCAGTTACAGAACACGCGCTCAGATTTAACACAAGCAGACACTCTTCTTTAAATGTGCTTCCATCAAGAAGACCATGACCAGGTACAGGTGTTACTGTATATGAGGTTGTTTCAGCACACACAAAGAGTTAAATGATCCTCTAACTGAGCTGCAGAGCAAACAGTGTTGGTGCTGTTTGTGTGTTTTAAATTATCCATAAATCAGACTCATTTACAAAATATCTAACTCACAAACAGGGGGCGCTAACAGCCATGCACAGTTGGAATAAAAGGAACGTCTGCTGAGAGTTGGTGGTAACTGCGGCGCAGTATTTATAAGAGATGTGACGCTCAAACTTACCAGTGATCAGGATTGATTGATTGATTGAATTTATTTTTATGTCATGCACACAAAGTGTCCAACCCTCATGGGCTTATAAGACAGCAGAAAATTCAGTTGCAGTGGTTTACATTAACATATCATAACATTACAAAGCTGCCGGCTCCTGTCACAGTTCAGTCTTAAACAACGTGTTATGTCTTTTCCCCAGGCTTTCCAAACAAAATATGTTATAACAAAGGTTCCTTTTTTAAAAACACAACTCAGCTTTTTCATAATCGTCTAGCCAAAAGAAATTTACTTAAATTGAGGTAATTTAAAAAAAAAGAGCAACCCTGATGTCATCATACATCGGGCAGTAAAACAGAAAGTGAATCTCGTTTTCAGTTTCTCCTAACTCACACAACAAACAAACTCGGTCTTCCTCTGGAATGGCATTAAACCTGCCGGTTTCTAAAGCTAAAGGCAATGTTCCTGAACGTAGCTGAGCGCAGAGGGATCTTTGTCTTTTGGTTAAATTAAAGAGAGAGAATACGTTCTTAGTTTTGGTTTGCACCTTTGACATTTCTAGTAAAGGTTCCATTAGTCTAGGCTGCATGAGGTTTAACCCCAGCACATATAACACACACTGTCCACGTGTGGAGACGGTCGGAGTCGTTACACAGGACGCAGATGAGTGATTTATTTTCATATTTAGATTTGTTACAGAAGCTTAAATGAACTGTAAAACTTGTACTTAGCAGAAGAAGTCAAAAAACACTCAGCAACTTCTAGTCCGTAACTTTAAACTGGGTTAAAAGTTCCGGCTCTTCAGGTATAAGTGAAGCTTTTAACATCTCACCCACAGACGGCGAGCAGACACTCCTCGATGGCGTCCCTCTGGGCCTTGGTAAGGCAGCATCCTTTGGACAGGCGGTACACGGTGTGCAGCAGGGAGTCGATCAGCGAGGCGAACGGTTCAGTCCCCGCAAACAGAGGAGCACATTTAGTGAGAAGAGGGAGCACAGCGGTACACAGATACCTGTTCAGAGCCAACGCCATGTCTGTGGCACTGAGAGACACCTGGAAGCGGGGGGAGAGAGAAATAGACAGAGAGAGAAGGAAAGAGGGGTGGGGGGAGGCAGAAGGTGTGATCAGGTTAAAGTTGTGAATCTGATAATAACATTATACAACAGATAAACAAACACTAGACCTGTGAAAGTCTGATCCAGGTTTCTGTCTGTTCTACATGAGTCTGGTTCTGTTCCAGGTTTCTGTCTGTTCATCATGAGTCTGGTTCTATTCCAGGTTTCTGCCTGTTCAACATGAGTCTGGTTCTGCTCCTGGTTTCTGCCTGTTCTACATGAGTCTGGTTCTGTTCCAGGTTTCTGCCTGTTCAACATGAGTCTGGTTCTGTTCCAGGTTTCTGCCTGTTCAACATGAGTCTGGTTCTGCTCCTGGTTTCTGCCTGTCCAACATGAGTCTGGTTCTCCTCCAGGTTTCTGCCTGTTCAACATGAGTCTGGTTCTGCTCCTGGTTTCTGCCTGTTCAACATGAGTCTGGTTCTGCTCCAGGTTTCTGCCTGTTTTACATGAGTCTGGTTCTGCTCCTGGTTTCTGTCTGTTCATCATGAGTCTGGTTCTGATGCAGGTTTCTGTCTGTTCAACATGAGTCTGGTTTTGATCCAGGTTGTTTGTGGATTCATATCTCTGTTTGTAAAGTGTCTGCAGAGAACATTTGTTATGAATTGGAGCTGTTCAAATAAAGATTGCTTTATTCTGAAACTCAGTGTGTTCCGTGATGTTCTCCTAACTAACCCCTCAGTGATCCTTTATCATCAATAACCCAGCATCAGAAACTCTGTTTGACCCTCTGTTTGGTTAACTTTGGTACCAAATCTTTTTACGTTTAGGACAGGATCTGTGTTGGGGCCAGATGTAAATATGAACTTTTTATGGTTAAGAAATACAAAAGAGTCAAATATTAATTAATTCGAATTATTTGTTTATATTATTGTTTATTTTGGCTTATTTTGGTTTTAGCTTTTGTAAATGAACTTGGGGTATTTGTGCCTTGTTCCTCCCTCTTTGGAGTAGCGCCGCAGCGTATTGGCGGGGGTAATTTAATGTGATTAATGACACCTGGTGAGACGGGTGAGAGTGGGAAGCAGGACAGTTTTTGAACTGCAAACGGCAGCTCAAGATGAATTTGATAGCAACCTGATTTGTTTACTTTATTTTGTCGAGTTTAATTTTTTTTTTAGTTTTCTGTTATAAGTTGACTTTGGATCCGGGGCAATTTTTTTTTTGATAGCGTGTGTTACACCTGCTCAGCACCATTCACCTGGAAGTTTTGTTAGAAGCCATAACAGTCTGTCTTTATTCTAAAAAGAACCCAAAGAACCCATTTGTTGTCATTTGTTATGGAACTCTTAACAGACATTGAAGCATGTGTACGTCAATGTCAAGCTTCTTCCTTTTCATCTGAAGGTTAAAAAAAAGATTCTGATGGTGTGTCATCATACCTGTGTTTAAGTCACTTTGACAATGAGTTCATTAAGTAGGATAATAACTCACACTCACATTTTCCCCACTAGAGGGTGCTAGAACAACATTATAACATATATCAATGTCATCAAATACACACACTCTCTCTCTCTCTCCGTCTCACCGTGTCGAGCGAGGCAGCGGCCCTCAGGTCAGGTAAGAACCCGACCTCCAGCAGGTGGAGCAGGAAGTTCTGGTCCTCGATGCCGTATACTCGGTCCAGGAACAGAACCATGGCGGCTTTATGATCCGGACAGAAACCAGCTGACATGTCAGGCTCCACCACGTGACCGTCTACACACACACACACACACACACACACACACACACACACACACACACACACACACACACACACACACACACACACACACACACAGTGGACATTAACATATATAGCATGCTTTGTATGATTTTGTTATTGATTTATTGGGAGGCTGGTGAGGGGTCATGAGGGGTGCCAGTGGTGCTCACCTGTCCCCAGGTTAGGCATGGAGAACGGGATGCTGATGACTCCCACCAGGTCCTCGATGGGGATCAGAGACCTCAGGATGGCTCTGATCCTGATTGCTTCACCTTTCCCTGCATGTATCAGCTAATGCAGAGAGAAGAGGGAGCAGGTTAGTGTGTGTTGACAGTGTGTGTGTGTTCAGTGTGTGTGTCTGTGTGCAGGATGTAGAGTGTGCATGTGTGTGTTTACAGTGTGTGTGTCTCACATGCATCTCTGGAGCACAGCGGCCTAGCAGGTCGATCAGAGCAGCGTAGAATGTCATGATGGCATTACCCATGTGGATTGTGTCATCTTCCTCTTCCTCTGTGATGTCACTGCTACACACACACACACACACACACACACACACACACACACACACACACACACACACACACACACACACACACACACACACACACACACACACACACACACACACACACACACACACACACACACACACAGGAAACATGTTAATTACAAATGAGAATTATCTGATATGAGATGCTGTTCAGCATTATTCCAATTAAACTGATGAAAAACCAACAGCTGTTTTTTGTTCATCTGTCATCAGATCAATGAGAAGTGTTAATGGATGATGATGATGATGATGATGATGATGATGATGATGAAGATGATAATAAAGCTGACGTCTCACAGGGTCTTGCTGCTCTCAGACGACGGCGACGGTCCGTCTCTGGAGGAATCCTGGGAGATCTTGATGGCGTCCTCCATCGCTGCTAACAGCCCATCTCCACCTTCACCTCGGAGGGCGGGGCCAAAACACTCAGGCCGACGAATCAGGAGCCTCACCACCACATTAGCATTCTCCTCCACGCTCTCACCTGTCCACGAGGTGCACAGGTGTTCACACACAGGTGAGATATTTACCTGCAGCATAAAGACTAATGAAGGTCAACATTTCTTTTTGTTTTTACCGTTGCAGAAGACGGCGAATCGCAGGAAGTCGAGGTAGCGTTCTCCCTCCACCGGGTTCCAGCCGATGTCTGGGTAACCTTTATGAATGAGCATCACACAGCTCTGCAGCCCACAGCCCGCCAGGTACTGAACCACCTGCACAGGTACACCAACGTTAAGGTCATACACAGGTATACACACAAACACACACACAGGTCATAGGGTTAGGTTGATTTTTGATCTGTATTTATAAGATGTTCTTTAAGGAGTCCGTCACACATGTAGTCCCCTGACATTAACGACAGTTTAATTAATATAACATTTTAATAATAAACTTGGATCACTGTAATCTGACAGTTTTAACAAGTATCCACAGGCTCACTTTCTCCAGGTCGGGTTCTCTTAGAGCCAGAGCCAGCTCGTTATTATCCATCACTGAAGCTGCAGCCACATCGAGGGGAGTCGAGCCCCTCATGGAGGGAGAGGCTGGGGGGGGAGGGAGAGAGAGAGAGAGAAGATCATTGAAGCACACGTGGTTAAAAGAGTTCTCAGCCGTTGCAGAGGAGAGTCTGTTTCAACATTCAGCTTCAATAAATCTGATTTTATGTCCAAAAAACAATCAGAGAGAAAAGATTAGGGGAAAAACAAAACACTGATCAGGCTTCACAAGGAAGGAACAACAACAACATAGACAACAACAAACACAACAAAAACGACATCAGCAACTCCAACAAAGACACCAACATCAGTAACCGTGGTGTCCTTAATAATGAATATAGTCATATGATAATAAAACTGAATAAGCAGTTTGTAGGCGATCTTCAGTCTCAGACTTTTCTTTAACTTCATCATTGGAGTAAAATCAAACAGACAGTAAACAGAGCAGGTGACAGGCCCCGCCCGCTCAGACTCACCTAGGCCCACACTGCTGTTCTCCAGCAGGTAACTCAGGTGATCAAACATGGCCTTCTGGTTCTGACGGCTGATTCGACAGAAGTAACACAGGAAGCGACAGCAGTTAGCCACCATCTTAGGAAACGTGATCTCCTGAACAAACACACAATACAGGTAAATATAGACAGATTATTATGATATTATAACACCTGTCTCATTAACACAGTGTTACCTGTCCCCACAGGTGAAGCTCACCTTCAAGTCTCCTCCACTCAGCACGTTCACCATCACCTCCATGACGGTCTCATGCATCCCCAGAGCTCTCATCAGGTTAGGGTGCTGGTAGAACACCTTGTTGTTCATGATGTCACTGCACAGGTAACAACAGCCCCTTTACACACCTGTACTGCACTAGTTATAATCATCCATATATAACGATATAACATGATAATAATCAGGTTAACACAACAGAACAACAAGCTGAGTCGGTCCTCATCCAACCACCAATCATGAGCGTCTTGTTGTTGTTAACCTGGTACATTTAAATAAAGTTTTGTTACCCCAGCCCTCGGATCATCAGCTTCTCCTCCTCGCGGCCCATCCGGACACTGAGCAGAGATCTGATCTGACCCAGAGCCGCCAGCAGGGTGATGGTGTCCTCGATGGAGACCGAGTTGATGGTGTAGGTCTTTGGGAGAGCCTGCACCTGAGAGAGCGAGCCAGAGAGAGAGAGAGAGACTCACTGTGAACATGAGGGTAAACAGTCACTGATTGTAGAACATCATTCTTTACTTTGATCGATCTGAATATATAAAATATAAATATATAAAAATATTTAAATGAGGGACGTTAAACGGTTAAACAGTTAATCTTATTCACCTTCACTAGTCATGATCACATTTATGAGTTGGTAAAGAAGAAAAAGATTCATATTTTTTAGACGTTTGTGTTTGCTCGTTTTAATAGATCTTTTTTTGTCTGCGTTTCCACTGTGAGCAACTGAAAACGGATGCTTGCAGTGTGTGCAGAACGCAGCATATTCATTGGCTGGCACCTTTCAAAGGAAGCTGTAACTCTCCTGGAGCTCTCTACAGTATGAAAGCTAGGCTACCTGTCGTTAAGCAGCAGGTCCTGTTAGCATAATAAGCTAGGATAGCTAAGCTACAGCTGAAACCCTGAGAATGATTGACACATGTACAGACCAATCAGAGTTGTTAACATGGGATTTTGTTTTGGTGGGTTAAAACCGGGACATGTTAGTGTTTAAAGACTTGTGGGGACTCGGTACACGGGACTTAAAAACAGGACGACCCGGTCAAATCGGGACAGGTCACCCTATTTAAGACAAGTCGTTTTGTCTGAATTGAAATGTCTGTTTAGCAAAGAAATTAGTCACCTGAGAACAACCCTAATTCAAACACTGGAGTGCAAACAGGCTGCTCACACACACACACACCTGTCCTCCGATGCCGTCGTATTGTCGGTGCAGCAAAACAAACATGGCTCTGACCAGTTCTGGATCCTCGATGACCGACTCCTGAGCCCAGCGGACCATTGTGTCCGAGATCAGCTGTTGTAAGGTACCTGAAGACACGACAACAAACACAGGTCTCTCTTTATATTCTGATAAACTCACTCGTATTCTTAACCTACAGCTGAGACATCAGCTGAGACATCAGGTGAGACATCAGGTAAGTCAGGTGAACAGGTGAACCTCTAAAGAATCCCAGATGGAGATAGGAACAGTCATCAAAGCTTCAGTTACTGATGGAGTCATGTTAATGTGAATTAAAATCTGATCAATGTTCTGAGTCTGTTGATAACCTCATGAACCCTGACACACTGTGACAGTTTGTCCTGTAGGGGGCGCTGGAGGAGCAGGTCGGAGGTCATTACTGTTACAATGATCCATCAGGAGTTACTCACCTGTCTCTGAGGTCAGTAAATCGATATCATATTTATGAAGACAGTGTTTTATTGTGAAAGACTCACTGGGCTTCCTGTGCTTCTTCTCTGCAGGAAGGGCGGCCATCTTGTTCTTCAGGTACGATACCTTCTCAACCAATGACATGAGCCGACCCCTGATGGTGAAGTCACCGTCTCCGCCGATCGCTCGGTCCTCGTCCAGCTCTATACCTGACATCAAGTACTCATCAGTGCACATGCTGTTATACTCTATCAATTATGATAATTATTATATATGATCATTAACATTATTACATAATTATTATTAATGAGATCTCTCTCAGCTGGACCACAGTGTTTATATTATTATCATTATTATAGATGATGTATGTATTACTAAATAAACATAGTATTATTAATAAGGTGTGTCGGGCTGTACCACAGTGTCTCATGAGGTCCTCGTGGAAGTCCAGCAGCTGGTCTCGGATGGACTCGGGACAGGGACAGTCCTGTTTGTTGTCTTTAAAGTTCAGCAGCATGTTGATCTGTGCACACAGACAGGAAGTGACCTCCTCTCAAAAACACTACCACACAAATCAAACATTTAACTCCCCCCCCCCCTCAGGTGTGTTCCTACCTGCTCCTGTGGAGGGGACCTGAACTCTTTGGTCTTCCTGGCAGTGAGCGCTGCGGACATGTTGAGAGCGAGCATCACCTCGTTGTAGCGGAAACGCTGGTTGTCTTGGAGACAGGCCACAAAGTCGTCAGAGAAGGCGACCACCGCCTCGATCCGGTGACGCACCTGACAGTCACACAGGTACTGCAGCACGTGGCACATCTGCACGCACATGCACACACACACACACACACACACACATATGAAACGTGCTGCTGAATATGGTTGATGTATATAAAAGTTAAACTCCAGCGAGAGGAGCAGGGTCACCTGTAGTTTGACGGGCTCAGGTAGCTTCATCTGTAAGAGTCCTTCTTTGGGCATGCTCCTTCCCCCCTCCTCTCCTCTTCCTCCCCCCTCCTGCTCCTTCAGCACTCCCTCCTGCTCCTCCCCACTCACACAGAAGACTGAGGGCTCGATCAGCCTCAGGATGTTCTTCAGGTCTCCGTTCTTGAACACGCCCATGATGAGCATGGTGTAGAACAGTTTAATGAGGGGGACGAACAGGAACTCAGTGCTGCCCCCTATAGGATCTCTGACGTGCAAGCTGCCCTCCCTCACCGCCTCCGTCAGCATCTCGATTGTCTTCACCTTCAGGACATCTAAGGGGAACTCGGGGCTGTACTGGAAACAGTCTCCGGGTGCTGAGCCGTTGTTGCTATGGTTACGGTGGGACGGCACGGCCCCGCAGACGAAGCAGGGCGAGGTGAAGTGCATTCTGGGTCTGAGGGAGGTGCTGAGGCCGATGCCGGGCAGGCCGTGCTTCTTGTCCTGGTCGGGGAACAGGGTGATGCTCTTGGTCTCGTCGGTCATGGGGACGATGTACTCGTTGTTCATCATGAGGTGGCTGTGGCGTAGCTGCTCAGGTGGATGTCGATCAGCAGGTCGTAGTAACCTGCACGCAGCAGACCTGAGGGGGCGGGGACACAGCTGTCAGTCACCTGAGTACTCTAGTTAGTGTAGAAACAATACATACAGGAGGTTATGTGACCAGTTTAAAAAGAAGCTGCTTGCTGGAGCTGTGATCTGAAGTAAAACACATTTGATAAAGGACATGAATAATTGTTAAGGTTCACTGCTTCATGTTTTATAATCTATACATTTTTTAAGATTTTAATGGATTGTTTGACAGTTAGTTTTCCTCAGCAAACATCAGGCGGAGGGAAAGATGGTATACTCTTTGTCCTCCATAAACTGGGACACACAAAAAGGGAGACGCCTCACGTCCTCTCACTGCTGCAGGGATGAAACCACACAGAATAAAATATATTTATATAAAACCATCAAAAAAAATGTACGACTGCTATGACAATTTTTTCAATACTTTTAACACTTTTTCCGAAACTCTTTACAACATCCGTCTGTATAGGCCAAACAATTTCCACACATTTCTGTTGCTTTGACACAATATACATACATTTAATTTGATTTTGAGACATGTGTCAGTGTTTTGGTGGACATGGAGTATTGTGTTAGTGTATTGTTGTATTTTGAAAATTAGTGTTGGAGTTTAGTTTACAATGTGTGATTTTGTGCATGAAATTAACTGTTTTGCCAATTGTGTGTTAGGTGTGTTGGTGTGTTAAGAGTTTAGGAAAAATTGTTAAAAGTATTAAATAAATTGTCATAGCAATCTTAAAAAACTGTAAGAGTCAGAGTAAGTGTGTGTGTGTGTGTGTGTGTGTGTGTGTGTGTGTGTGTGTGAGTGTGTAAGTGTGTGTGTTACCTGGCATGTATTTGTTTTGGATAGCCTGCAGCAGCTGGGACTCGTCCACGTGTGAGCAGAGAGCGTGAGCGACCCGGTTGTTTCCCAGAGCACAGATAGCAGAGTACAGTCTGAGAGTGTGGAAGTGAAACTTTAACAAGTCGCTCTGCTCGGACAGTTCCAGGATGTCCACACACCTGAGACACATAAACACAGATGCACAAATACTAAGTAAAGAGTGAGAGAGCAAGTGTGTACATCTGTGTGTGTTTGAGTATTTGTGTGTGTCTCTGTGTGTGTGTGTGTGTGTGTGTGTGTGTGTGTGTGTGTGTGTGTGTGTGTGTGTGTGTTGTCCACCTGTTCTCCTCAGGTATGTGCAGAGACATGAACTGCAGAGGTTCAGTACACTGGACCAGCCAGCCGTGTCTGTCGTTCACTCTGGACGCTGAGACCTGATCAACACAGGTGAGATAAAGAACTTCAACTTAAACCTTAAGAGGTGGGCAGAACAGGTGAATGTAACAGGTGTTACCTTGAGGAAGTGGTTTGGTACTCGACTCCATAACACCGGTGTGAGGAACTGGACGTGCAGTCGAGGAGGACACTGAGGAGCCGGGTTCTTCCTCTCGCTCTTAAACAGACCAGCTGACAAAGGCATCACATTCTGACAGAAAAAACACACACACACACACACACACACACACACACACACACACACACACACACACACACACACACACACAATAACACAACACCAGGTCACACAACAACACTGAATCCATGTTGGAACACACACTAGGCTGGTGGTGTTTAAGACTAACTTCATGCTAAACTGACACAACTTGTTTCACACATTAAAAAATGTTCTGTGCCGTAAAAGTATTGAATTTAATGTACACAGAGAGAACCTGTTTAATCTGACAGGACTTAGACTTGGCTGTTGGTTAAAGCAGGACTACGGTAATGACGTGTTGATGAGAATGTGTGTGTCTGTCTCACCTTGACTCGTCCCAGTTCAAACTGGAATACATTGGGACTGGTGGCTTTGGCAAACACTGCAGGGAACAGTTTGGTGCTGGGCTCCACCTGAACATAGGACACACATCTGAACTCAACACCGTGAGCGGAACTATCCAAGCTGACTAATGACGATAGCACTTCCTGCTGGCTCATGTTTGTACAGTCAGGTGTTCAGTAAGACAAGTCAGTAGAATAAAGTGTACCAAAGTATAAAATACTGACCTGGTAGTACGTGCTGAGTTCCTTCCCGTTGGCCGTGAAGGTCAGTAGACCGTGTGTTGTGTCGACCAGACAGCCGATCTCCAAACCGTTGTTGTTCCTCCCTTGACCAGGACTGCTGCTCTCTCCGGCCCACACCATGTAGCAGTTACTGCGCTTTATACTGAATGAAGAAATACAGACACTCACTGGAGCAAATGTCCTGTTCCTGCTAAACTACAGGAACAAATGTCCTGTTCCTGCAAAACTACAGGAACAAATGTCCTGTTCCTACTAAACTACAGGAACAAATGTCCTGTTCCTGCAAAACTACAGAAACAAATGTCCTGTTCCTACTAAACTACAGGAACAAATGTCCTGTTCCAGCAAAACTATAGGAACAATTGTCCTGTTCCTACTAAACATCAAGAACAAATGTCCTGTTCCTGCTAAACTACAGGAACAAATGTCCTGTTCCTACTAAACTACAGGAACAAATGGCCTGTTCCTACTAAACATCAAGAACAAATGTCCTGTTCCTACTAAACTACAGGAACAATTGGCCTGTTCCTACTAAACATCAAGAACAAATGTCCTGTTCCTCATAAACTACAGAAACAAATGTCCTGTTCCTACTAAACTACAGGAACAAATGGCCTGTTCCAGCAAAACTACAGGAACAAATGTCCTGTTCCTACTAAACTACAGGAACAAAATGTCCTGTTCCTGTTAAACTACAGGAACAAATGTCCTGTTCCTACTAAACATCAAGAACAAATGTCCTGTTCCTGCTAAACTACAGGAACAAATGTCCTGTTCCTGCTAAACTACAGGAACAAATGTCCTGTTTCTGCAAAACACAGGTTCAAATTCCTGTTCTTGCTAAACTGTGGAAACAAACGTCTTGTTCCTACTAAACATCAAGAACAAATGTCCTGTTCCTGCTAAACTACAGGAGCAAATGTCCTGTTCCTACAAAACTACAGGAACAAATGTCCTGTTCCTGCAAAACTACAGGAACAAATGTCCTGTTCCTACTAAACTACAGGACAACTTGGCAACTTGGCTGTTTTCCTGCTATTCCTGACCCCCCTCCTCTTACCTGTGAAACCCTCCTTCAGACCTCTGGAATAACCTTGTTGATTGTTCCTGACCAACCTGAGAGGGGACTACTTTCCCACTTGCCAAGGCCCTTCCTGTTCATCACCCAGTAATAGACAACGTCAGACTTCCCTTGGTTATCACATCCTTCCACTTCCTTTTGAACCATGTCAACTGTCAACCATGCCACCTGTGCCCACCACCTGCCTGCCTCTTCATTCTGTTTGATTTTCTTAATAAAACTGCAACAGTTCTAAATAGTTTATCTGCATTTGGTTCCGAAAGACATTCTGACAAAGAATAGTTCTTCCAGATACGGAAGACTTTTAGATTTGTGTTGGCTGTGACTCGAATCACCTCTCGTGAACTTTGCCCTTCTCGTCTCCCAGGGTCACAGTCACAGTTCGGACTTTGTGCAGCTCGAAACCGGGGTCGTACTGATGGAAGTCAGAGGTCACCCAGCCCACCCACACACTGCTGGGCTCCTGACCAGGGAAGATCCGCACTGAGTAGTGGTGCTGAACAAAGAGAGAGAGGTTCAAGATTAACTCCATCAACATGGATTATGGTTTCTATCACAAACAAAGTACACCAAGAACCTCACAGAACCAGACTCATCAAACATGAAGTCAGTACATGGAGCAATGGACTCCTGGGTCAAAGCAGCTTCCAATGAGATAAACATAAAGAAATAAAAGAGATACGTATGACAGCCGAATACTTCAAATACATTCAGACGTGATATGTAATTCATAACTCCAAATTGCGTGCATCTTTAGTTTATTACCGTTGATGCATGCATGAGAAACTCGTATTCATCTCTGTCGTCAGCCATCACCTCCTCTGACAGACGGGTAGATGTTGGACAGCTGTTGTCAGGTTTGTTTTTCTTCAGCATGAACCTGTGGTGAGTTCAGGGTTAGAAAGTTTAGAAGAGTGATGACAAAATGATAAAAATGTTCAGGTCACTGATGAACCTTTACTGTGAATATATGGAGCAGTGGAATATTACCTCTGCTTAAGTTTGGAGGGCTTCTCCTGGTTATAATCTTTGTGGTTGTTGAACTCGTCTCTGTCAGGACCGTTGGGACCATGAGGAGACTTCATGAGGACCTCGAAATCTGACACTGTCTCAAAGTCCTCCAGTTCCTGCACAACCAATACATCACACACATTGTGAGACGGAGAACAAATCTGAGTGTGTGCAGCCCTACATGTTACACACGTGTTCATATCTGAGTTTGGTTCTGTTACCCTCTTTGGAGAGAAGAGGCTGTCATGTGGCGATCTGGAGAAGGACTCTGCACACTCTATGGGCATGCTCAGTCTGTAGAAGGTGATGTCATTGTGACTGTTCTGAGAGCCAAATGACCTCTGAGTGACCCTGAGACATGGACACGACTCCACCGTCCCGTCGATCCTCGTCACCTGCGGGATCAGAAACTGTTAGTGTCGACTTCAGTGTCGGATGAACCTGTATAATAAATTCTGTGGGTAAAAACTGTTCTGAGTTGTTCCTGATTACATCTGAGCCCATTAGAAACTCTAACATAGATCTAAAGAAGCAGCAGATTCTAGCAGGTTCTATCTTTATGTTCCTGAGTGTGTGTCCAGGTGTTTCTCCTCACATCTATGTGTTGGTGGTTTGGGGGCACAGGTACAAACTGAGGCAGCCTCTTGCTGAGCCACATGGTGACGTCCCGGTTCATGTTGACGGCGAATGGTTCATATCCTTCCTGCAGTCCGCAGATGGTGAAGTACTTCAGAGAGCTGACATCTTTTCCAAAGTTCATCCTCCCCACCTGACATACCCCCAGACTGCACACCGGGATGAAACCTGATGGCGAAAAATCAAATACTTCAATGGCAAATATTTATCATGTGACTAAGATCAGTTTTATGTTGTTCTAAGTTTATTCCTTGGAACATGACCTTCTACGGACAGGTACAGCTGGTGAAACCATCTGACACCGACCTCAGCTGGTTGAGACCAGATGTCTCTGAGTGGAATCATAGTGTCACAGCAATGTTGAGCGCACAAAGGTTGAGTTCTTAAAACATGAATATCTAACTTTGACGTGCTTCGTGTAGGTCAAATAATTCAGGACAAAATTCTGGCTTATCACAGTATGCAGATTAAACTCAGGTTTACTTTGCTCCTTCAACAAATCATTACAGTCCCATGAACCAATCCCTACCAATGTTTAGCTGGATGCATTACATTTCTCTTAATTAAACTAAGCCCAAGTGTCACTCAGCCTTGCCAAATGTCGGTTTGGTAAATAGACGTGATTTATTTAGGCAAGCAGGTTAGTCAGGGTCAGGTCAGCCGCGCCAAGGCCAAAGTTGCATCTATAACCAAGTTCCCTGCTTGGGCCACTAATCCTTTCCTCTGCATCGGCTATTTCAGAAGCTTCTGTAATAAATTAAAAACTGACCTTCACCAGCATCAAAGTCCTTGAATGCCAGCTCAGATCCAGAGTCATCCAGCAGCACTTCTCCGTTCAGTGTGAACATCATGGTGTGTTCGTTTAGGTCCACCATGCAGCCCACCACATCCCCCGTCTGCCATGCCCGCCCAAAGTGCTCGTTACCCTGGTGCCAGCGCTGGACCTATGGACACACCACCCTCTCCTTTTAGGACTCAGACGTGAATAATTGTGCAGGCGACTTTTAGGATGAAAAATGCATAGACTGTTTTTTACAGTAACTAAAAATATGTGTGGAGCAAAGAAAGAGGCAGCCACCTTGAAACCATCAAACACAAAGGCCTGATCATCAGATCCCAGCTCGTGGTCTGGAAGGCACCCTGGTCTGGCCCAGCCCACCCTCATTTCTCCTGCTGTTAACACCTGGAGGAGACGCATGCTCAGGTTAAATGGGTGTCTGATTATTGTCAGCTCAGGACTACATCTTTGTCTGTCATGGTGTCTTTTCTTACCTCCAGCTCAAAGTACCACTTCCCTGCGTTCACACTGTAGGTTTTCTCTGCTCTGAAGATTCTGAACCTCTCAGCAGACATGTTACTGAGGTCACACTGAGCTGCTGGAGGAGAAAGGGCCAGGGAGGCAGAGAGCTTGTCTGGTGAGCAGTTCCATATTAATCATCACAGACAACAACCTGTGATTTTGTAGTCATTGAATGAAGCGAGGAAGTGAAGGGTAGACTCATACCGTGGTCCTGGTCTGGAGCTTCCAGGTTGTATCCGTAGCCCAGCAGAGTCCTGACCGCCTCTCTCAGACTGTCTTTGTTGGACTTCTTGGTCCTCTCGTCCAGCAGAATGTAGGGGACCAGACGAGGGTTTCTACGGCTCTTCACATCCTGAGCACAGACACAGACAGAGGAATAACTAGAGTAACTGATGGTTGTATGTCTCACAGTATAAACCAGCCTGTGCCCCCCTTCCTACCTGCTGGATGCCGTAGGTCCAGCCCTGCCGGATGCGGTCTCTAGCCCACACGTTGTGAGCGTTCTCAGCCAGTTTGTCCACCATGGCTTCCTGGGTGGAGGTCAGTTTGATGTGACTCAGGTCCAGAGGTGCAGGTTTATAACCACTGGATAACTCATAGCTGCACAGATAGAGTTCACCCACTCAATCATTAGCTAGCATACTAATCACACTCATTTAGGTACTCATGTCCGGAGGTCATGTGTGTTCATGTGAACTGATCTTCAACACAGACTGGGAAACTATAAGATCTGTTCCTCCAGACATCAGCAACCTATCTGCATGTGTCACTCTGCTAACTCTGCCGGTGTAATCTGACTGATCTTCATCTGATGTTTACTCACGTTTGGGACAGCTTCAGACTCTTCACTTTCTCCACGGCGTGTTCATCAGCCAGACCAACATGGCAGCCCAGAGCCAGCAGAGTTCTGGAACACACACACACAGACACACAAAGGATCAAACACACACAAACATGATCAAACACATTACATATCTTTATCTTGCTCCGATGCTTACTTGAGCGTCTCCAGAGACATCTGCAGGTTGTAGCTCCTCTCCTGCTCGGGAAGTTTGGAGAACTCCACCAGGCATGGGTGCTGCCTCTTGTTATCATCTCTCACCTGTACAGGTAACGACAGGAAGTGTGTGTGTGTGTGTTTGTGTGTGTGTGTCAGCTTTCACCTGGACATGAACTCATAGACCTGGTGTTATATTCAGGTAACGTCACAGTGCTCTCTGAATCTGAATCTGCTGTGAAGTATTGAACAAACTACAGACGGGTGCAGCTCAGTAACTACGGTAACTTAAACTAAAACAACATGGGAGTCTATACCACACATAGAGTATAAATGTGACTTATCACTGCTGAGTATATAACAGAAAGCTAACGGTTATAGAGTATATCATCAGGTACTCACGGCTCCGTAGGTCCAGCCCAGTTCAATCTTATTCATCACCCAAAGCTCATGAATGTTTTCTGCCAGTTTCTCCCGGATTCTCTCCAAGTGAGGAGGAAGAACGATCTGCACACAGAGACAAGCCTTTAAGTACCTGTACTGGACCCTGTCAGTTCCTGGGCTTGACCCTGTAAGCACTTGGTCTGAACCCTGTCAGTACCTGGTGTGGACCCTGTCAGTACCTGGTCTGAACCCTGTCAGTACCTGGTCTGAACCCTGTCAGTACCTGATCTGAACCTGTCAGTACCTGGTGTGGATCCTGTCAGTACCTGGTCTGAATCCCGTCAGTACTCGGTCTGTACCCTGTCAGTACCTGTACTGGATCCTGTCAATACCTGGTCTTGACCTAGTCAGTACCTGGCTGGTGTCCACAGGTATGGGGGTGAAGGCTGCCTGGCTCAGGGTGATGGTGGGTCCAAGCAGGTCTCTGTCCTCAGTCTGGTCCTGACTGGGCTCCAGCTTTAGCTTCTCTCGGGGTAACACGGCCTCGTAGCAGGGGGCGTAACCAGGAGGGGGGAGGAACTTAAACTCTCCATGACGACCCCCCAGTAGGAAACGCACTCTGTAGGGGGGAGGAGAGGGGGAGTCAGGGTTTGGGATCACATTGAAACATGTTTATTTAAAAAAAAAAAATCAGCTTTAAATATATCTAGAGAGACTTTGACTCCAGACTGTGAGCTCAGGCTGGAACTCTCTGGACTCTGAACGACATTAAAAGAACATGTCAGTTTATATGACGTGTGAGCTGGTTGTTTTCTATGACTGACTTGACTCCTGCAGAGAAGCTCGCCACGGGGAAGAATAGTCCGTCAGAGTTGAAATTCTCGAACATGCCCTGCACGGGCTGCCCATTGATCCTGAAGGAGATACTGGGCACGCTCAGATCCAGACAGCAGCTCACCACGTCCTCCACCCTCAGGAGGTGCTGGTTAGGAGAGCTCACAGAGCGAGCGATGCAGCCTGCAAGGACAGGAAACACTGTTAGATTACACCTGACACCTGGAGGTCAGAGGTCATAACAGTAGAGCAGATAGGGGCGGAGTTAATTCTTCTTAGTGTTATTTTGAAGGTTAAACAGCAGCTAGTCAGAATTAGAACATGCATAAAGATTACACACCTGACCACAGGTGGAGTCCATCAAAGCCATACGAGTAGAGGTCATCTCCCACCCCATTGCCCCCCCACCCCTCCCCCCCGCTGGGGAAGGGGGCGTAGCCGTTTGTGTTGGCCCAGCCCACCCTCAGGTGAGTCGCCTCCGCTGTGACGAACGGCAGAGCCTGATCAACGATCAGCTCGTAGTACCACTTCCTGTACTGGGCGGAGCCATCGCTGACACCTAGGAAGATGTTTGGACGCATGCTGGAGGACGAGGAGGAGGAAGAAGAGGAAGTGGAGAAGGAAAAGGAAGAAAGTAAGACATCTTTGTCTCCTGTAGCTTTCTTATATATTAATAATGAGCGTGTGCATGTGTCTGTGCATGTGTGTGCGTGTTTGTGTGTGTGCATGTTTGTGTGTGTGTGTGTGTGTGTGTGTGTGTGTGTGTGTGTGTGTGTGTGTGTGTGTGTGTGTGTGTGTGTGTGTGTGTGTGTGTGTGTGTGTGTGTGTGTATACCTGCTTACGTGGTTGCTCAGCCTGGTCTGCAGCAGCAGGTCTCTTCCTGGCAGCAGGTTGTCACAGATCAGATGTTGGTTTGAGCGAACAGCAACGCCGTGACACACGCACAGAGAGCACAACACGTCCAGTACCTGGACACATACACAAACACACACACATGAACATGCACAAAGAGAGAGAGAGGGGAGGAGAGAGAGAGAGAGAGAGTCAGGTTCAAAGGCCAGGAACATTCTCTTGCCGTCCCATTCAGATGCAAAAGTGATGTTTATGTCACTAACACGCTGTGTTCACGTTGATGATAAAAGAGAAAGTAGAAAAATAATTTGCATATTTAGTCTGCCAATTAGACGGATGTTAAGGATACGAGTCCGTCAAAACTTTTGTGCAGGAGTCTGCCACTTCAACTTTGAGAGGAGAGAGAGAGAGAGAGAGTCAGGTTCAAAGGCCAGGAACATTCTCTTGCCGTCCCATTCAGATGCAAAAGTGATGTTTATGTCACTAACACGCTGTGTTCACGTTGATGATAAAAGAGAAAGTAGAAAAATAATTTGCATATTTATTTAATTAGACGGATGTTAAGGATACGAGTCCGTCAGAAACTTTGTGTGCAGGAGTCTGCCACTTCAACTTTTGATAATTCAAAACAAACATTACCCAACATTAAATGTCTAAGACTTTTGATGTTGTTGCCGTGGTAACAAACAGGTATGGATTTCAAGGTCTAAATTCTGGTGTCATGACGACATGTATATACACATATACTGTATATTAGTAAGTGACCTTGTGGTTGCGTCCGTGTTTGTCCAGCAGAGAGATGATGGACTTGATGTGTCCCTCTTTGATGATGTTCAGAGCCTCAGGACTCTCCACCAGCACACAGTGAAGAACCTCTAGGATACCTGCACACACACAACCACACACACACACACACACACACACACACACACACACACACACTCACACTGTCAATCACTGTGGATAACAATGATGTCATCCAGGGTCAACAGTTTAAGGTCTCTAGAGGAAACTTTTAGAGCTGTTAGAGGGACACCTAGTGGTGACATGTTGAAGCATTTTAAAACATGTTTTAAATGGACGACCGAAGTGGTAAAGTGTGTATTAATGGATAATGGATAATCATTTGATATCATGTGATCAGTGATGTCCTCCAACAAGTGCTGACCTACCTGAGGAGGCCTCCAGCCGCTCCAGTCTGCTGATTAACCAATCCAACGAGCCCGAGAACTGAGCACAGTTCTTCCTGTTTCCTCTGATCAGAGCCGCTGGGGGTGGGGTGGGGGTAAAGGGGGTAGATTAGACACCTGTCTTATTGGAACCTCAGGTGTTTCATAATAAAATAATAAAGTTTCTGCTTGTGTCATTTCAGCATCTTCATTATCTACTGTCCGTCACTCAATGTGTGTGTGTGTGTGTGTGTGTGTGTGTGTGTGTGTGTACCCAGCAGCTGGTACAGAGAGTTGAGGATGGAGCTCCAGGCGTCTCCTGCTTCTCTTCCTGCAGCTTCAGTAAAATGAGCTGCACTGCTGTAAAGATTACAATTAATGATTACACACTTTTAATTGCATGTTTGCATTATTTCCCATTTAAAAATAAATATTGTTAGGCTTTCATTTTGAAAATTTGTACCGTTTTAAACTGAGAGTATTTTACTTGCTGTGTACTTTTATTTTGAAATAAAGTAATGCCCGTCCTGTAGATGGAAGGATAGTAAAGGAAGTTAAGCACAGAAACAGGAAGTAGTTAGGGATCCCAAAGTGAGGTCAAACAGCTCAAAGGAACGGTAACAGCTGAGCTGTCTGAGAGTTTGTTAAAGTGAAATGAGACATTCAAAGATGCAGCAGTGTCCTTCTTTATCATCACTGAGACTACAGGGAGATACTGAAGACCACTATCTACGGTGAGCCTGAAGGGACAAACATGACATTAATTTGATTAACTAGTTAATGCAGACTGCCCTAATATAGAATATAGATTGTATTTACCACCTCCTCCTGAAAGAGGTACTGTCCTCTGTCTTTACAATAAACTAATATAAATGTTTATAAAAAGTTGTTTCTGACCTCCTCCTGGAAAAGGTTCTGGCGGTTCTTGAGCGCTCTCAGGCGGTTCTGTTTGTCTTCGTGCTCCAGGTGATCTCCAGGTGGTTGGAAGTATCCAATCAGATCCTCCAGACTCAGACTGACTGAATCTATGGGTAGATCTGGAGTGGAGCCCCGCCCCTTTTTCCTCAGAGAGTCCAGCCCCCTGCAGCAGGTGGAGAAAGGGGTCAGTGTATGAGCAGAGGGGTGTAGAGGGGGACCCTTTTTAATACTGCCATACTTTTTGATTCCTCCTGTATTAAAAAGACACAGTCTCTTTTTGAAATGAACAATAGTGGCAGAAGATAAAAAAATAGGGGCCGTATTCACGAAGCCTCCTAGTGACAAAATTCTGAGAAATTTCTTAGAATCAGGACATTTTCTTAGAGTTTCCACTCAAAGTCAGGACTAGATCGATGTAAAGGTGAAAGGTATTCACAAAGTGTCTTCGTCCTTCAGAGAGTTCCTCAGGTGTCAAACTGTGAGGAGAAGTGAGGAGGACTTCTAACAGGATGAAGAGTTTCTCAGGCTGAGGAGGAAACCGAGAAATGTTCTCCAAACATGACATGAAGAATATTATTATTGAATCATAGTCGGGCTGAACAGACTATAAGGATTTGTGCAGACATTTCAATCTATCGCTGACTTTTTTCAGTACAAAGTGAGACATGTTGAGTTACTCTACGTGTGGTTACCTCCACAGGTGCATCCAATCACTAATTAAGGCTCTTTACCTGATAATGTAACAATCAGCATGTGAAGAAGCTGCTGCACCAGTGGGCATGTGATTTCAAACATCTTGTAGGCTATATACCTACCCACCTGGTCAAAGCCTGTCTACCCTCTCCATCCTCTTCAATAACCAACATCATCCAGTCCTCTCTTACTTCTGGTCTTGTTCCATCATCCTTCAAAACAGCAGCAATAACTCCAATACTTGGCTCTGATCCCAATAAACTTGATAATTTCAGACCGATGTCCAATCTACCATTTCTTTCAAAAGTACTGGAACAACCCTGGTGAAACTCACAAATGAGCTCCTGATGGCAGCTGACTCTGGACTCTTAACAATACTTATCCTCCTTGACTTAAGTGCAGCCTTCGACTCCATCTCTCATCTCACCCTCCTTGACATACTAGCTTCAATCAGATTCACTGGCACCTCCCTCACCTGGTTCAAGTCATATCTCTCCGGTCACACTCAGTTTGTTCGACTCAAAAACTTCAGATCACAGCTCTCCCCAGTCACAACCGGTGTTCCTCAGGGCTCTGTCTTAGGTCCTCTCCTTTTTATCATCTACCTCCTCCCTCTCTGTCACATCTTCAGGAAATGTGGTATTGACTTTCACTGCTACGCGGATGACACCCAGCTCTACCTGTCTTCCAAGCCCAACTCATGCTGCAGCTTAAAGGTCACAACTCCGCCAACACCTTCATCCCTCTCCGACTGTCTCCTTGAAGTTAAATCCTGGTTCTCTCATAACTTTCTCAAACTCAACAGCGATAAAACTGAAGTTCTTCTGGTTGGATCCAAATCCACTCTGGCAAAGTCTGACATCTCTTTAATAACAATTGACAACTCCACAGTCCCTCCCTCCCCAAAGTTAAGAGCCTGGGTGTCATCCTAGACAGTATTCTATCCTTTGAAGTGTACATCAATAACATCACTCGGTCAGCATATTTCCATCTGCGCAACATCAACCGCCTCCGCCCGTCTCTTACACCCAACAGCACCGCCATCCTTGTCAATACCCTGGTCACCTACTGTATAGACTACTGCAACTCTCTCCTCTCTGGACTACCTTCTCAAGCTTCGCCATAAACTTCAACTGGTCCAGAACTCAGCTGCCCGGATCACTACCAGAACCCCCTACTGTATAGACTACTGCAACTCTCTCCTCTCTGGACTACCTTCTCAAGCTTCGCCATAAACTTCAACTGGTCCAGAACTCAGCTGCCCGGATCACTACCAGAACCCCCTCCATAGAACACATCACTCCGTCCTTCAACATCTCCACTGGCTCCCTGTCAGATACCGCATTGATTTTAAGATTCTCCTCCACACCTACACCCCCTCTTGGACCCTTCGTTCTGCCTCCTCCATGCTCCTCACCACACCTCCTGCCCGCCTCTCATCAATGGGGTCTCAGCCTTTAGTCGTACAGGCCCCCGTCTCTGGAACTCTCTCCCCAACTTTAAATCACAGCTCAAAACACACCTTTTTAAAATAGCTCATTCTGTCTGACCACGCCCTTCTTACTGTTGTTGTTTTTGTTTTTATATTTTTTATGTAGTTGATTGTGTTCGTGTTTTTACTCTCACCGTGTATGAAAGGCGCCAATAAATAAACCGTATTATTAATATTATACAAATGATCACACATAATTAAATAATGTCTGACTAGATTCTATGATTTAGTTTTTTTCTCAATTTTGTTGGATCAACCAATCACAGCTTCTGAAATAATGTGTCATACCTAGCAACAGGGTCAAAAGCTGCTGCACACTGTCGATGCCCACGCGTGTGTGTGTGCAAGTGTATGTGTATGTGCATGTGTGTACGTGTGTGTCTGTGTGTGCGTGTGTGAGTGTGTGAGTGTGTGTGTGTGTGTGTGTGTGTGTGTGTGTGTGTGTCAGTGTGTATATGGTTGTGAGACCCACCTGATGAACAGGTTGAACAGAAACACAGTACTCCTGATGACTCGTGCAGTTCGACTCTCCTCGTGTTGAGAGCGAGACAGAGTCAGCCCGTCGTCCATGTGACCCTCGTGATGCATTATGGCCTGAAACACAGAAACATCACACTGACTTATTCACTAAAACTGTGAAGAACTAACAAGAGAGGTACAATTACAAGTACAATTAGTATTTGCTGCAAGAGTGAATTCTTTACAACATTTTATTTTGTTAGCACACTGAAAGCTTGATGGTGAGTCAGCTCTGCGTTGTACAGAAATCGACGTGTGTGTTACGAGTATAAAAAGCAGTCATATGTTCTGTGCCTACCCTTCTCTGGACTCCGCCCATACGAGCACACTTAGCGTCCACAGTCTGATAGGTGAGCCACAGAAAGGTGTCCACGTGTTGGATGTAACACACAGAGTCTCCATATTTAATGTCAGGAGCCCCCATCCCATCCACCTCCTTCTTCACACCAGGGTCCAACTTTTCCTGAACCACCAAGAAGAGGACAGAAAAAGAACACTTTAAAAAGGAACACTAACAGAAACAAGATGTTCAGCTGACCATGAATGTATTCACAGTGTACCTTAGACGACCTGAAGCAGAAGGCCGTAGATTTGACGTCTGCTTGTTCTTTGTCCAGCAGCTGCAGAGATTTATCTTCTATCAGACTCAAGTATTTTCCCGTGGTCACATGACGCAGTCTGAACGGCTGACCCCAACGGATGTGACTCCCACTCCACTACACACACACACACACACACACACACACACACACACACACGCCGATATTTACAGTGATAATAAACAAACATGGTTTCCGATCTGTATTGTATAAATGTACCTGTTGTGTGTTGTGTAAGTGGGTGTATAAGTGTCTCTATAGTGTGTGTGTGTGTGTGTGTGTGTGTGTGTGTGTGTGTGTGTGTGTGTGTGTGTGTGTGTGTGTGTGTACTCACACCACCCTCAGAGTCTCCAGTCTCCACAGAGAGCGGGCGTGACTGGACACAGCTCCGCCCTCATAGTGCACCGTCCTGATGGAGAAATCAAACATTATTAAACAGTGTGCGCTGCGTTCTGTCTACCATGCACTGCAGAGCTGATCGCTCCCTTTAGGAAATTGTCGTGTCTCCACTTCACACGCTGTGATACATCTCCCTGTATATCCACTCCGGCCTGCTCCTCTTCAGAAACAGTTCCAGAAGGTTATGGGACATATCATCTGTAACCGGGTGGTAAAAGTAATTTAAATATATTTTATCCATTTGATTAGTTATACTTTCAAAATGTTAGTAGGTTAAATGTACATGTTCTGTGTTGTTTTCTTATGCGTGTGATATTAAGTCACAGAAATGAGTTTTAGATTGTAAGTGGGCCGCCACAGGCAGATTTAGGTTTTGATCGCTCGGTGGCAGCATTGAGTAGTAACAAGGTTACTCCGCCAAGTGCATCATGGTCTTTCTTTCTGTTTACATTGCACGCAAAGAATCTGGGGGTTTACCGGAGTTGACAGCACTGTTATCCTTGTGAAAAGTAATACACAGTAGTAAGTAAAACATATATATCTTGCAAAATATCACTGTAGAAAACGTTTTATGTCCATTTGGTAACAAGAGGGTTGTTTTAGGTACTACTAGGTCGGATGCAGTGGGATTGCCGGCGCCAGCCACTGAGTACTGCGTTTAATTTCTCAAGTAATGGAAATGCACTTTGTAGAGTGAACGAGTACAGAGTTTCAACTCATTGTATTTTGTTTTAAGGACAAACAGTGTAACAGATGGTGTCATCTTCAGGGAGCTCCACGTGAGGGTTTTGTGAAAACTGTTGAAATGTAAGTGCATTGTGCATATTCCTTGTACATTTCAGAATATTTGTGGGTGTATGTTGTGTTGGTTTATGTGAGACAGAGCATGTTTAAATTATAAAATGATTGTCGGAAACGATCAGTAAGAGTCTGTCTGTAAACATCAGAGTCGTCACCTCCTCTGCTCGTCTCCGTGCTCTCCTGATGGAACCGTCAGACACTCGTCCATGTGACCGTGAAGGATGCGCAGGACGTCTCCTCCGATCAGGTAACCTGCAGATCTGAAGTGTGTTCACACTTAAAAGCAACTAAATAAAGACATAAAGAAACCGAGTGCAGACTAAAAATAGTTTCACAAAGGAAGCTGAAGAGCTTCTCAGATCTCAGAACATAAAAATAACCTGTGACTATAACTGACTTCAGAACAGCTTGTAGATATGCTGTTAGAGGTTATTTATTTACTGCAGAGATACTTCAGAAAGGTCTGATAAACATCATCACATGAGGAAACATGGAGCAGAAACACTGAACTCAGGAGCCAAGATTCACAGGTCAGATTACACAGAGTGAACCTTAGACACGAGAGGACAGGAGGAATAATCAATGAAGACTGGGACGATGACAGAAAACATCTAAAACAGGAAGTAGACTGAGAGAGACAAACAGACAGGGGAGGAAACAGACAGATAAAGAGACAGACAGGTGATGAGACAGACAGGTGAACAGACAGAAAGGTAAAGAGAAAGACAGGTAAAGAGACAGACAGGTGATGTTACCTTGAGCCACCTCGCTTCCTGAACAGATGGGAGCTACACTCCACAGAGTCTGCTGGAAGGCTGCGTCCACATGCAGAGAGCTGTTTCCATACGACAGGTGCTGCAGAGAGAGAGACAACATCATCACTGTCATATTACACAACTGACACACACACACACACACACACACACACACACACACAAACACTCACACACGCACGCACACACACACAAACACACCCACACATGCATGCATGCACGCGCACACACACACACACACACACACCCCCACACCCACATACACACATCTGTATCATCAAAAAAAATCAAAAGGTACAGACCAGGTATCTCTCTGAGGACACGCTGACCAGGATGAGATCATCACCCACTCTGACCTTCTCCCCCTCTGAACGCTGCTTCGAGGCAGGATGGATAGTCCACCAGCACGCCTCGCCTACACATAAAAACACCCACACACACACAGGCTATCTGTAAATCCTGCAGCTACAATAATCCACATGTGTTTTCGGGCCCAGTGCGGACCATAATATGGAAGTTGGTCGGGTAGCTGGAGAGGTGCCAGGGCACTTCCCGAGCCCATGAGCAAGGCACCGATCCCCAGATGCTCTGGTGCGCTCTCTGCTTAGCAGCTTGTAGCAGCCCCACTCAGACATCTCTCCACTGACGTACACAGGTCCTGATCGATCTGAAGCTTCAGCAGCTGTGTAGATTATGAGTTGCAGCTGATTGGACCATGAATAAAAGATTATAAACAAAAGTGAGACTCACCTGTCGTGTCCTCCTGCAGGCCGACATCAAAGGCCAGTTTGTCAGTGGACGAGCGGGAGGTGGAGAGACAGCACAGGTACTACGGAGAGACGGAGGGATCGATACACCTGATCAGCTGTGTGTGTGTGTGTGTGTGTGTGTGTGTGTGTGTGTGTGTGTGTGTGTGTGTGTGTGTGTGTGTGTGTGTGTGTGTACATGTGTGTGTGTGTGTGTGTGTGCGTGTGGGTGTGAGTGTGTACTAACCATCCCGCTGTAGGAGTGTCTCAGCAGCACTGCGTGTCCGTACAGTAAGGTTCGATGGCTGCCGCCCTGCCCCGTCTGAGAGAGATAAACAATAAAGAGTCACTAACGAGAGAATAATTAATTATTAATAAACAGAGAGAGAGACTAATGAATAAAAACAGACAGAGATCATCAGTTCCCTGATTAATTATTACAGTAAGAAATGTATTATATTAGGATAAGCCCCTTGAGGTGTATCACCTCGTTTTCAAGGGGGTCCTGAACAGATATTTACAAATGTAATACATACAACAAAAAACAACAGCAACAAAAACAAAAAACAAAAAAAGGGGGGACAAAACAGAGAACAGATACAACAAAAAACTACAACCATTACAGCAACAATTACAACTCTAGACTTGATACCTTCAGTCTATACACAGAGAGAAATAAACAAACAGTGTTGATGTTATTGAAAACATACGCAATCAGTTTGAAGATAAGAGAAAACCTTTTTAAATAAGTGGAGTGATGACAAGGAACAGAGATTTAAAGGTAACTTAATCCAATCAGAATTACAATTTATGTCAATGATTCATAATTATCAGTTTGTCTCTACAGCGCAGAATGTGAGACAGGATCAACCAACAATTCTGAATGTGAGACAGGATCAACCAACAGGTCTGAATGTGAGACAAGATCAACCAACAAGTCTGAATGTGAGACAGGATCAACCAACAATTCTGAATGTGAGACAAGATCAACCAACAAGTCTGAATGTGAGACAAGATCAACCAACAAGTCTGAATGTGAGACAGGATCAACCAACAATTCTGAATGTGAGACAGGATCAACCAACAGGTCTGAATGTGAGACAGGATCAACCAACAGGTCTGAATGTGAGACAGGATCAACCAACAATTCTGAATGTGAGACAGGATCAACCAACAGGTCTGAATGTGAGACAAGATCAACCAACAAGTCTGAATGTGAGACAAGATCAACCAACAAGTCTGAATGTGAGACAGGATCAACCAACAGGTCTGAATGTGAGACAGGATCAACCAACAGGTCGAAATGTGAGACAGGATCAACCAACAGGTCTGAATGTGAGACATGTCTGAATGTGAGACAGGTTGGAGGATCAAACAACAGGTCGAAATGTGAGACAGGACGGAATGTGAGACAGGTCGGAATGTGAGACAGGTCTGAATGTGAGACAGGTCCGAATGTGAGACAGGTCCGAATGTGAGACAGGACAGAGGGATCAACCAACAGGTCGAAATGTGAGACAGGTCTGAATGTGAGACAGGTCAGAATGTGAGACAGGTCAGAATGTGAGACAGGTCTGAATGTGTGACAGGTCTGAATGTGAGACAGGTCAGAATGTGAGACAGGTCTGAATGTGTGACAGGTCTGAATGTGAGACAGGTCAGAATGTGAGACAGGTCTGAATGTGAGACAGGTCTGAATGTGAGACAGGTCTGAATGTCGCAACCACTGATGAAAGAATAGAACCGATCCGTCTGCACACTGAGGATCCTTCAGACATCCTTTGAGAGTTTCAATAATGCAGGATGTGGTTGAATGCTGCGTGTGATCTGTGGGTGTCCTCATGTCAGGATGTCTGACCTCACACATCTGAACACTTGGAGTAAAGTTGAGCTGGAACCAGGAAAGACCCTGAGACGCTTGCAGCACGGTCTGAGATGATTAACAGTTTGATCATAGTGATAATAAAGCAGCAGACAGTCTGAATGCACATCAGGAGATCAGACCGTGTGCTGTATGACAGATGGTGCCATCCAGTTACTTCAGCAGTCACACTTCCCGAGATGCCAGTCGGATACGTCATCAGTTGAAATCCAACATGGCTGCCCCGCACAGCCACAGTTAAAGGCTTCATATGCGATTTTTCACACTTAAATATAATATAAATCAAGTATATCCTCTGAAAATAACTCTGTGAGTAATGACTGTCTGCAATGTGTGTAACACTCGAGTCCCGCTGTCTGTGATGTTTTCAGAGTTTTCCAAGTGCCGTCTTCAGTTTGTTTATATCGTTGGGACAGCATCTGACTCCTCCCCTCAAGAATAAAAGTTGTTTAATTGAGGGACTAGAGAAAAGAAGAATAACTGTACTCACTGCTTAACTGTGTTTCTAGATCACACTCATTTCAAGTAAATTTAGCATGCTAACACAACAATGCACCGCGAGTTGTTTTGGTTTCATGCTGGCGCTCAAGGGCGACATCTGCTGGATCAAAGAATCATATATAAAGCCTTTAAGTATACGCTGTACATTAAATGGTTTTATTAATAGCTGAGTCTTATTTTAGTGCAATCAAATCAATCACACCGACAGTATGGTACAAGTTCTATCTGCGGACTTGTTGACATGTTGCTTTCTCACTCAAACTATCACAGTGTGTTATCACCTGCTGTTAGCTAACACAACAAAGGTACTACAGGAGGCGTCCATGTTGTTTTCATGATTCATAACTGGAACGTGATTAACTCAGCGGTGATGTCAATCCCACCTCTGACATCCGACCCCAGAGTTCTCTGTGGTGAGTTCACTGACTGTTCAGAGAATCTGAATTGAGATAACTTAACCTCCTCTTTATGTAAACGATGTAAACGAGTCCTGCAGCAGATCATCAAGCAGATATTAGAGATCTGAATCCATCCTGTCTCTGTGGTCTGTTTCTCCTCAAACTGAATGTTCGTTCAAAGTCCTCTGGGGTCCAAGATCAGGTCAGTCCTCAGGGTGTGTCTAAGCTCTTCTACTCTTTCATTTCCTGTTGGAATATAACCTGCAGGAATAAAGATCTCAGGAGCAGGTAAATCACCTTTCTTTCTAAACAGGAGTGTGGTGAAATAAAAGATCACGGAACAACTAGAGATGAGTCTCTTTAAATGTGGGAGAAGAGTTCATTTATTCTGAAATATCATCAAAAACACCTAGCCTAAGAAAAACAAAAAAAGTTGGCTCCTCCTCCTCCCCTTCATCCTCGTCCTCTATGAGCTTCATCAGACTGCATCTCACCTGCTTTTATAGTGCTTTCATCTCCCACTCCCACACTCCCTGTGTGTGTGTGTGTGTGTGTGTGTGTGTGTGTGTTGCCTCTCACCCCCTCGTTCCTGTCCTCTGTGTTGGCCAGCATCTCCTGCAGCGCTCGAACAGACAGAGACTGCTCCAACACGAAGGTGCAGATGGACAAATCAGGAGGAACATTCTGGAACGACAACAACACAACATGACAACATGGCTTACTACACACAGGACACACAACACTGCTTACTACACACAGGACACACAATACTGCTTACTACACACAGGACACACAATATGTCTCACTACACACAGGACACACAATACTGCTTACTACACACAGGACACACAGTATGTCTCACTACACACAGGACACACAATATGTCTCACTACACACAGGACACAGCACTGCTTACTACACACAGGACACACAATACTGCTTACTACACACAGGACACACAATATGTCTCACTACACACAGGACACACAATATGTCTCACTACACACAGGACACAGCACTGCTTACTACACACAGGACACACAATACTGCTTACTACACACAGGACAAACACAAAGGACACACAGGACACACAACATGTCTCACTACACACAGGACATAAACTAGTGGAGAGATGTCAGTGTTAATAGAGACAGTATACAGTCAGCTTTGCTGAGTCATGTTTAATGTTTAGATTATATATGAGACTTTATAGAGACAGTCTACAGTCAGCTCTGCTGAGTCATGTTTAATGTTTATATATGAGACATTACAGAGACTGTCTACAGTCAGCTTTGCTGAGTCATGTTTATATTATATATGAGACGTTACAGAGACTGTCTACAGTCAGCTCTGCTGAGTCATATTTAATGTTTATATATGAGACATTACAGAGACTGTCTACAGTCAGCTTTGCTGAGTCATGTTTAATGTTTATATATGAGACGTTACAGAGACTGTCTACAGTCAGCTCTGCTGAATCATGTTTAAGGTGTAGCGTGTTGTGTTTGTTACCTTGGAGTTGGAGATGGACTCAAGGAAGCAGAGTCTGTTCCCGAAGCCTTCAGCAGCCAAACAGAGTTTCTGTTGCTCTTTATGGAGAGTGGCTGAACACTGCAGGACCACCTCGTCATCCTACACACAAACGTGTACAATACACACAAACACACACACACACACACACACACATACACACACACACACACAAAGAGAGCGAGAACACACAAATTTAACAGTTAAAAACCAGAGTCAGTCAGATATTTTGAGCTGCTAGTCGTAGGTGGAGAATTAAAACTTTTAAAAATCATCACACACACACACACACACACACACACACACACACACACACACACACACACACACACACACACACACACACACACTGATAAAAAAGAGTTTTGAAATGGAACTACAATAAATCTTTCTCCTCCCATGATGCATTTCTCCTTCTTGTGTTCAAACAGTGAAGAGAGTCTCATACAGACATGAAGGTGAGGGAGGGTTTCCTGTTTCATCATTAATGACTCTATAACACTCAAAGGGGGGTGGGGTCTGTCTGCAGCAGAGAGAGGTTGAAGGTAACAGCACAGACATGTTGCTAATAACCACAGAATCAGGGTGATGTTAACACACAAAAAACCACTCTCACACACACACACACACACACACACACACACACACACACACACACACACACACACACACACACACACACACACACACACACACACACACACACACACACACACAGTGCAAACATTAAAAAGCACCTTAGCGTGAATGGTCGGAGCTGAATGAATACACAGAGTTACACAACAGATTATTCAACTGCTGCAGCCTGAGGAAACATTAGAGAGAGAGAGAGAGAGTGTGTGTGTGTGTGTGTGTGTGTGTGTGTGTGTGTGTGTGTGTGTGTGTATGTAATCCAGAGGTAGGATAGTGAATAAGGACTTGATAAGATTAATCCTCAGACACAGAGAAAGATTCAGGGACAGAAGGAAATAAAATTTCAGAGAACATTTTAATCTGATGTTCACAGACTTGGAGTCCAGACTTGGAGGCATCAAAGTTTCCCATGATGCCTCAGGAGCCCTGCTTACGGCAGGAAAGCAGCCAATAAGGAGCCTTGAATCTACAGATGAAACATGTGGTGCACCATGTTTGAAAAGTTGACAGTGAGAGGATTAAATGCACGGGGACTATTTTGAGTGGCGGATGAATCCACATTTGGTGCCCTGTGAGTATTTGTGGTATCAGGAGAGTGTGTGTGGGATGTGTGACTCACTGATGTGTGTTTCTACGAAGCTCCGAGAGCATTCAGGTCCATGTATTTTATCTTTTTTCATAGAAATAAAATAAAACCCATAATGATCCACCATTAAAATAACAGAGTGTATCATAAAAAAAATCGACATCTCTTGCACACTGTCTACATTAACCTGATCCCGATTGATGTCAATGTTTTAGTGAAATTTAGAAAGCGTGCAGAATTTGTCTGCAATCACTGAAAATTAAAAACAATAAATTACCCAAAAAGCCGGCAGTCAGCTGTTTGTTCCTCCGTCTAAATGTTTTTGTTTATAAACAAACAATATATTTTGATATGTTTATACACACAAACTACAGTATTTAGTGCTGAGAGTGGCAGGGAAGCTGGACGGCCATAGTAACAGTAACCAGGGGGCGGGGCTTAGTGACAGTTCACGTCAGGCCTCAAAGACATTAAATCTGTTTTATATCAAATCTGCCGCCTCATACATTCAGTCACTGCATGTGTGTGTTTGCGTGTGCGTTTGTGTGTGTGTGTGTAGTGTGTGTGTGTGTTTGATGCCAACATTTATATTTTTTTAAAGCCACAAAATCAAAATCTGTGTGTCAGATCATCAGGTCATCCTGATGTGTGTGTTTGTGTGTTGTGTGTGTGTGTGTGTGTGTGTGTGTGTGTGTGTGTGTGTGTGTGTACACTGTAACACTGTGTGTGTGTGTGTCTGTGTGTGTGTGTGTGTGTGTGTGTGTGTGTGTTGTGTGTACACTGTAACACTGTGTGTGTGTGTGCCTTCCAAATATGTGGCAGGATTTGGTAAAAACAGAGTCAAAGAAGGAGGAGGGATTAAATCCTGGCACAGAGAGAGGGAGAGAGAGTAGGAGGAGAGAGGAAGAGGAGGGACGGAGGAGGGATGGAGGAGGATGATGGAGGCGATGGGTTGGAACAGGGATGGAGGAGGATGATAGAGGAGGTGGGTTGGAGGAGGGATGGAGGAGGATGATAGAGGAGGGTGATGGAGGAGGTGGCTTGGAGGAGGATGATAGAGGAGGTGGGTTGGAAGAGGGATGGAGGAGGGACGGAGGAAGGCTGGAGGAGGATGATGGAGGCGGTGGGTTGGAGGAGGGATGGAGGAGGATGATGGAGGCGATGGGTTGGAGGAGGGATGGAGGAGTATGATGGAGGAGGATGATGGAGGCGAGATGGAGGAGGGATGGAGGAGGATGATGGAGGCGATGGGTTGGAGGAGGGATGGAGGAGGATGATGGAGGAGGATGATGGAGGAGGATGATGGAGGCGAGATGGAGGAGGGATGGAGGAGGATGATGGAGGAGGTGGATGATGGAGGAGGGATGGAGGAGGATGATGGAGGCGGTGGGTTGGAGGAGGTTATTAAGTCATGATGTAATCAGAGTTCTCTGTACTCAATCTTGCTGCTTTGTAAGAATAATTTATATCTTTGAGTTTTAACTGTGAGCACAAAATAATATGAAGAGAGGAGGATTTATCAATAAACCACAGACAAATGGGGGGGTAGAGAGAATGTCGTTTATAAATGCTTATTTAGTCCAACTGTGTTTGTTCATCAGACTTCACCTGACCTTTATTGTTGTCTTCTTGTTTTTAAATGTGTGTGTCTGTGTGTCTGTGTGTGTGTTTCTGTCCGTCTGTCTGTCTCAGTTCATGTTGAGTTAAAAGTCACATGTTTAATTTACTGCTGAATCAACACTTAATCTGACACACACACATGCATGCACGCATACACACACACACAGCCTGAGGTGATTACAGCAGAGCAGCACTCGGGCCTCTCTGAAAACTGGACTACAGGACACTGATATAAAGAGAGGAGAGTGAGGAGGGTGAGAGAGAGGGGAGAGAGAGGAGGAGAGAGAGGAGGAGGGAGAGAGAGAGAGAGAGAGAGAGAGGAGGAGAGATGAGTAGGAGGAGAGTAAAAGATTAGAGGATTCTCTCTCTGCTGTTACATCATGTGTAGAGTATCTCTCTCTGAGTGTGTTTGAGTCAAGAGGACTTCAAGCTTCATCACAAAACTGTTTTTATGAGAACTTTAAAACACTTCAGCCTCTCACAACCTCTCTACTCCTGTCACATCCTATCTCCTTCTCTCACATCCTCTCTCCTCCTCTCATATCTCCTCTCCTCCTCTCACATCCTCTCTCCTAATCTCATATCCCTTTCCTCCTCTCTCATCCTCTCTCCTACTCTCACATCCCCTCTCCTCTTCTCTCATCCTTTCTCCTCCTCTCATATCCTCACTCCATCCCCTCTCCCATCCCTCTTCTCTCATCCTCTCTCCTTCTCTCACATCCTCTCTCCTTCTCTAAATCATTCAAATCTAAATGAATCACTTGCGGTTTTTGACATTAGCTGGGCTGATGTTTAAGTTCTTCTTTCAAGGCCAGAAACCAGTTTAACCGGGCTTGATATACTGCAGAACAACCACCGACTGGAGGTCAGACTACAGACTACTGTCCAATGCAGTATGCAGTACACAGTTTGCAGAACATACATTTGATGGCATATGCAGTATGTTATATAGTGGTATAAATTATGCATTATGTTATATAGTGGTATGCAGTATGTTATATAGTGGTATAAATTATGCAGTATGTTATATAGTGGTATGCAGTATGTTATATAGTGGTATAAATTATGCAGTATGTTATATAGTGGTATGCAGTATGTTATATAGTGGTATACATTATGTTATATAGTGGTATAAATTATGCAGTATGTTATATAGTGGTATGCAGTATGTTATATAGTGGTATAAATTATGCAGTATGTTATATAGTGGTATGCAGTATGTTATATAGTGGTATAAATTATGCAGTATGTTATATAGTGGTATGCAGTATGTTATATAGTGGTATGCAGTATGTTATATAGTGGTATACATTATGTTATATAGTGGTATGCAGTATGTTATATAGTGGTATGCATTATGTTATATAGTGGTATGCAGTATGCAGTACATAGTTTGCAGAACATACATTTGATTGCATATGCAGTATGTTATATAGTGGTATAAATTATGCATTATGTTATATAGTGGTATGCAGGATGTTATATAGTGGTATGCAGTATGCAGTATGTTATATAGTGGTATACATTATGTTATATAGTGGTATGCAGTATGTTATATAGTGGTATAAATTATGCATTATGTTATATAGTGGTATGCAGTATGTTATATAGTGGTATACATTATGTTATATAGTGGTATGCAGTATGTTATATAGTGGTATAAATTATGCATTATGTTATATAGTGGTATGCAGGATGTTATATAGTGGTATGCAGTATGCAGTATGTTATATAGTGGTATGCATTATGTTATATAGTGGTATGCATTATGTTATATAGTGGTATGCAGTATGTTATATAGTGGTATGCAGTATGTTATATAGTGGTATGTAGTATGCAGTATGTTATAGTGGTATGCAGTATGTTATATAGTGGTATGCAGTATGTTATATAGTAGTATGCAGTATGTTAAAGTGGTATGCAGTATGTTATATAGTGGTATGTAGTATGCAGTATGTTATAGTGGTATGCAGTATGTTATATAGTGGTATGCAGTATGTTATATAGTAGTATGCAGTATGTTAAAGTGGTGTGCATTATGTTATATAGTGGTATGCAGTATGCAGTATGTTATATAGTGGTATGCAGTATGCACTATGTTATACTGTATAGTGGTATGCATTATGTTATATAGTGGTATGCAGTATGCTATATAGTAGTATGCAGTATGCTATATAGTGGTACGCAGTATGTTATATAGTGGTATGCAGTATGCTATATAGTGGTATGCAGTATGCTATATAGTGGTATGCAGTATGCTATATAGTGGTATGCAGTATGCTATATAGTGGTATGCAGTATGTTATACTGTATAGTGGTATGTAGTATGTTATACTGTCCGGGTGGTATGCAGTATGTTATATAGCGGTATGCAGTATGCTATATAGTGGTATGCAGTATGTTATATAGTGGTATGCAGTATGCAATATGTTATACTGTATAGTGGTATGCAGTATGTTATATAGTGGTATGCAGTATGTTATATAGTGGTATGCAGTATGCAGTATGTTATACTGTATAGTGGTATGCAGTATGTTATATAGTGGTATGCAGTATGCAGTATGTTATACTGTATAGTGGTATGCAGTATGTTATATAGTGGTATGTAGTATGTTATATAGTGGTATGCAGTATGCAGTATGTTATACTGTATAGTGGTATGCAGTATGTTATATAGTGGTATGCAGTATGTTATATAGTGGTATGCAGTATGCAGTATGTTATACTGTATAGTGGTATGCAGTATGTTATACTGTATAGTGGTATGCAGTATGTTATATAGTGGTATGCAGTATGCAGTATGTTATACTGTATAGTGGTATGCAGTATGTTATATAGTGGTATAGTATGTTATATAGTGGTATGCAGTATGCAGTATGTTATACTGTATAGTGGTATGCAGTATGTTATATAGTGTATGTAGTATGTTATATAGTGGTATGCAGTATGCAGTATGTTATACTGTATAGTGGTATGCAGTATGTTATATAGTGGTATGCAGTATGTTATATAGTGGTATGCAGTATGCAGTATGTTATACTGTATAGTGGTATGCAGTATGTTATACTGTATAGTGGTATGCAGTATGTTATATAGTGGTATGCAGTATGCAGTATGTTATACTGTATAGTGGTATGCAGTATGTTATATAGTGGTATGTAGTATGTTATATAGTGGTATGCAGTATGCAGTATGTTATACTGTATAGTGGTATGCAGTATGTTATATAGTGGTATGTAGTATGTTATATAGTGGTATGCAGTATGCAGTATGTTATACTGTATAGTGGTATGCAGTATGTGGTTTAGAAAACCTTCTCAGAGTGTCAGCTGTTCAGAGCACTTCCTGTTTACCTCAGGTGTGAGTCTTTGTCAAGAGAAGATGTTTTATTAAAGGTTTATGAACATGTTTCTGTGTTCTTCTGCTGCTCACACACACTTACAGTACAAACACACACACACACACACACACACACTTACAGTACAAACACACACGAACACATAACAGACTCACAAATATCTGCACAGTGCAAACATTGATATATCTTATACACACACACACACACTGACAAACATCAGTGTTTGTGCTGTACGCAAGAATCTGTGTGTGTCAGTGTGTGTGTTTGTTTGTTTGTGTGTTGGCAACCTGCCCTAATGATCATCACAGTTTCATGGCCGACTGGGTACAACAGCAAATGAGCTGACATCAGCAGTGTGTGTGTTTGTACTTTAAGTGTGTGCCTGTGTGTGTGTTTTGTGTGTGTGTGTGTGTGTGTGTGTGTGTGTGTGTGTGTGTGTGTGTGTGTGTGTGTGTGTGTGTGTGTGTGTGTGTGTGTATGTGTATTTACAGCACTCACGTGATATTAGAACACAGCAAACGCTGAAGCCGTCACTTTTACACTCCTGAAAATATAATTTGAGCTCCAGATATTCTCCTGTTGTTAGTTTGTGGTAAAGTTTTTTAGTTAACAGTCAGTCAGCCTTTCAATAATCTGCTGCTTCACATTCTGAAAATAAATTCTGAAACACACACACTATTCATGTTTAACATTCAGTGATATATTGTGGGACTTTAAAGCCTGTATGCAGAAGGAGGAGGAGCTTGTTAAAGTGGGCGGAGTCTGCAGTAGCTGCGCTTCTCTCTGCAGAGTTTATATTTGGGGCACTTTATTTTCCGACTTTGTAAAGTTTTGGTGTCTTTGTGAGGACACAGCTCCTCAGGGACAGACTCTGCAGCAGAACCTGTCTCTGTGTTCTGGTTCTGTTCATACAGCATGATGTATGAACCTCTGCACACACCTCATTACTCACACTGAGCATGCTCAGTTCTCCTCTGAGGATCACCTGCTCTCAGTATGAGGCTGCTGGTCAGGTCAGAACAAACTTTATCCTACTTTAGCTGTTCAGGAAGCAGGACAACACAGGCAGATGTCTCAGTCAGACTGATCTGAACTTCATATTCATACAGTATGTTATTAGAAGTATACATCAGGATGACATGTTTACATTGACTCAGTGTCAGAACCCGTCAGTCTGACCTCATCCTCTGACAGCGACTGCTTCCTGTTCAGGTGTGCTGCCTTTGTTTGTAGGGTCACAATACCAGATTTTAAACTAAGATATGAAATGTGTAAATGATGGATGATAGATGGATAGATGGATGAATGGATGGATGGCGGATTGATGGACAGTGGATGGATGTGTGGATTATAGATGTATTGGTAAATGAATGGATAATGGATGAATAGATTATGGGTCTCTTTAAAAGAATAACCTTGACTTACACAGAAACAAAGTGTTGGAGTAAACAATATAACCACGAGTACTTTTAGCGTTCGGCTCAGAGAAAAATTTGTTGGCTCAACACTCCATAGATAATAGCTTTCAATGAGTTTAACCTGAAATCGTTGTCAGTAGTTGGCTCAATGCATCCTAATTCAACCAAAAGCAAGTTGTTTTTTTAATCAACAAAATCGATTTTCGTTACATTCCTAAAAAAAAAAAAAAAAATTAAGAAGAGAATTTAATAAAGAAACAACCAGAGCTGGAGAATGTTGCACACACACACACACACACACACACACACACACACACACACACACAGGTTTGTGTGTTTGTCTTTTACTTTTTGCAGACTTCACAGAGAGAAGAGAAAGATCCTCAGACACAAAACCTGCCTCAGCTGATGCTGATATCATCAGACTCCTCTCCTCTCCTCTCCTCTCCTCTCTCTCCTCTCCTCTCCTCTCCTCTCCTCTCCTCTCCTCTCCTCTCCTCTCTTCTCCTCAGGAACATTATGCTGTGATCAGTCAGATTGCATAACAGCACTGCAGTGAAGAGCAGAAAGGAGGAGACAGAGAGACGTCTCACTTTCTCTCTTTACACCTCTGATCTCTTTCTTTACCTCACTCTCTCTCTCAAACATGCACACACAGACACACACACACACACACACACACACACACACACTCTGCAGTGAGGGTCAGACTGAGGTGATTTCTTCCATATGACAGCTTGAAGAAAATAAAAATCAGACTGAATCAGACTTCAGAGCATTTAAATGTAGAACATGTTGAATGTGTAGAATTGAGAAAGAGTAATCAGAACATGTTAGCTCTGCTATCTGAGGGTTAAACCAAGAGAAGATGTTCATTGCAAAGAGACAAAACCTGCTGCACAGATTAGAGAGCCAAACTGTTCTTGTACCAGGCTGTAAACATGTTGATTTCTGCTGTAAGGTTGGAATTTTAAAATGGGTCTCTATGGGGACTGACTCACTGCAGGAGACAGACTCAAGTGGACAAAGCCAAATACAGTTGTTTATATTAAGTACGATTAAATATAGAGTAATAATACTATACACCTTTGGTGTGTTTGTGTGGTTCAGTCCTGTCGGTGTATTAATGTGTCCGTGTTACACAATAGCAGCACTAAACTGCGTCCTCCTCCTCTCTGACTCTGTGAACATGAGAGCTTCATGGAGGGAGGATTTACTGAAGGGTCACAGTGTGCTGAATTTCAACTCAATCAGTTTCCTGATGTTTAGACACATTCTAAGAAACTAGACATAAAAAGGACGAAGCGACACAGTGAGACACTATGAGGTTTGTGTCTGTATATCAGCCCCTTGTGACTGAACGTATGAAAACAAATAGTGTTGAAGAGCAGACTGCACAAAGAGAAGGAAGCTGCTTCACTGCAGGGTTAGAGGTCAGCGTCCCCGCTCGCTCCCTCGGGGGGGTACATATCCTGCTGCATTCACACGTCTACTCTCCTTGAGTTCCCTCAGAACGGTTACTACGAGGCGGTCAGGAAAACATCTGAGTTTCAGTCGCTTTGTATTCACACATGAACAGAAGAGTTGAGTTCATGTGTGAAACCCGCAACAGTCAGACGCAGGAAACCTTCCTCTCCTCCTCCTCCTCCTGTGTTCATCCTTTGAACCTCATAAAGGTCACCTTCAAAGCATGCTTCACTTTTAAAGGAAACACACACACACACACACACACACACACACACACACACACACACACACACACACACACACACACACACACACACACACACACACACACACACACACACACACACACACACACACACACACACACACACACACACACACACACACACACACACCTGTCCTCTGTTCTGTTTGAAAGTAGGTTCATAAAGTTAGAAAGATCATGGAGCTGTCTCTTTGTAATTCGTTGGCCTGGATGCTTTGTTACAGACATGAATCCATTGGTTGTGATGTGGTCGAGCTGCTGCTGCTGTTGGCTTCATTTAAACGTCAGCTGAGGATCAAATCTGCAGTCTGATGTGTCTCTTTATTCTTTAAATACCTGAAACAGCTGTTCACGGGACGTTTTCTCAAACAACCTGCAGAAATGTTGGTTTGTCACGGACTATTTTCAGCGGCAGATGGATCAACATACAGTGTAGTGAGTGGGTGTGTGTAACTGTATGTGTGTAGGTGTGTAACAGTGTGTGTGTGTGTGTGTGTGTGTGTGTGTGTGTGTGTGTGTGTGTGTGTGTGTGTGTGTGTGTGTTTGTATGATTTGTCAACAATATGTCATAGGAGATGTTCTCGATGCTGAACGTAAGTAAAGACTGAAATCATCCACTGGGAAGCAAAACTTCTGATTCACCATGGCAACAGCTGCTGAGGCTCATGGGTAATGTAGTATTTATCGGAATCAGAGAAAAGAATGAAGAGTGATTCTGAGGAACGAAAAAGTCTAAAGAAGACACACACACACAGACACGCACGCACACACACACACACACGCACTCACTCACTCACTCCCTCACTCACACACGCACATACACACACACACACTAACCTGTTATGAGTAAAGCTCTCTGACCAACAAATTGTCCAACATTAATTATAAATCCACCAATCAGAGGCGGAGGTTTCTTTCAATTATTCAACAGCGGAAAAAACAAACATTAAACGAGTCTAACCGCAGTGTGTGGTGTGTGTGTGTGTGTGTGTGTGTGTGTGTGTGTGTGTGTGTGTGTGTGTGTGTGTGTGTGTGTGTGTGTGTGTGTCAATGTTTTGTTCACACCTGAACTCTCCTGTCGGCTTGTTTTTTGTATTTTGTGAGAGAAATTGAAGAAATCAACAAAACGATAAAGGAATTCTTCCCAACAGCAAACATGACATCAGAGCTGCTGACTGATAAAACATCCTACACACACACACACGCACACACACACAGAGAGACACGCACACACACAGCACTGTGTTGATGGAGGCTGGGGGAATCATGCGCTCAGAGAGAACATAACATTTATGAAAGTGGGAGGAACTCATTAAACTTTCATAAAGGGCTCATCACTTTGTGTGTGTGTGTGTGTGTGTGTGTGTGTGTTGCACTCTCAGCTGATGGAGTGGTATTGCTTTTTCCACTGCCACCCCTCCCCCTAATGTACTCCACCCCCCTTCCTGACCTCCTCATGATGCTCTCTGTGATTCAAAGGTTCTCAGCTGGTGGGTCAAGACCCAACACTGGTTTTCGGTGGGTCATGAATGTGTTTGGATTTTCAAAAAGTCTGTGAAGAACTTTTTTATACATTCATTTTTGTTCTGTCATGTTCTCAACTGTCTGAGATCCAACCTTTAATTCAATGGATCTGATTGGTTGAAAGCTGCTGACTGTCCTGAGGTGAGACCAGATAAGAATCAGTGATTTAATATATTACAAAAATATTTCACACAAAAAGACATCACTTCCTGTCTGCGATCCTCAGACAGGAAGTGATGTTCAATCTGTTCTGATACATCACAACTCTGTCAGGTGGTTTCTCACATGTCTGATTAAGTAAATAACAGTAACAAAGAACGGTCACAGGCATAGGGCTTGGACATCGAGAGGGTGGAGACGTACAAATACCTGGGTGTTCACCTCAACAACAAACTGGACTGGTCACACAACACAGACGTCCTGTGCAAGAAGGGCCAATGTCGACTTCACCTGCTGAGATGACTGAGGTCCTTTGGAGTGTGCAGGACTCTGCTACAGACTTTTTATGACACTGTGGTGGCGTCTGCACTTTTCTATGCAGTGGTCTGTTGGGGAGGAGGGAGCACGGAGAGAGACAGGAAGAGACTGAACAGACTGGTCAGGAGGGCCAGTTCTGTCTTGGACTGTCCTCTGGACTCTGTAGAGGAGGTGGGTGAGAGGAGGATGTTAGTGAAGCTGACATCCATCACGGACAACTCCTCTCACCCCCTGCATGACACTGTGGGGGGCCTGAGCAGCTCCTTCAGCAGCAGACTCAGACACCCACCCTGCAAGACAGAGCGCTACCGCAGGTCGTTCATCCCATCTGCCGTCAGACTGTTTAATCGGACTCTCTAACAACATCACCACCTCATGCTACACACTGTGTGTTTTGTTAATAACAAGTTACTGTGTAATTTTACATTTACATTATTGTATTTTTTTTACATTATTGTATTTTTTTACATTATTGTATTTTTTATTTTTATTTAATTGATGTAAATGTGTTTGATCTGTTTTTTAACTTCTATTTTTATTTTTTATAAGTATATTCCTCGTCCCCTGTTTTCTGGAGCTGCTGTAATGCACAAATTTGCCACGCATACACCAAAACTCCCTTTGTTAGGCATTCATTGTTAACAAGACAGCAGCGTTTGGCTGCAGGGGCGTGTCCACACTTTGAGGACGGCCCGACTGGGGCTCCGACTTCTGCAGGGGGGGCCTGAAGTGTGATGAGTGCACAAACACAAATAAATAAATGTCCTCTTTCTAACCTCACCAATAATATGACTTTATAAGCCTATATACTGGAAACATTAACTAAAGTTTTAATGACACAAATAGAAGATTTATGTTCAAAGTCACATTTTAAAGGACTAACTTGTCGTGTTTTGGTCCCAACACATTGAATGCTTTCCTTTCTGTGAATCTGTTTTATGAAATAAATGTGCAAAGTTTTAGAAGCCACATACTAACTACTTAAACATTTTGTTTAAACATAAGTCCCGCCTCTGACAGGGCACAAAGCCAATCATAGTTTAGGATTTTTGGGGTGTCACCTGCAGTGGCCAATCAGATTTTTAGGAGGTTCCATGCCACCCCTCTGGACACGCCCCTTGGTCCCTGAAAACAAAATCTTCATCTGACTGATGAGGTAGATGTTGATATTTTCACTTTCATTACATTATGAAACTATCAATCATTCACATATCTGTCATTTAGAAAAGTATTGACGAGCTCACTACCCTCCGTGTTCATATCCTGTATCTCCTCATCGTCCCCTCTCCTCCTCATGGACCACGCTCCTGCTTCAGGCTCTGCAGTGGAACTCTGTGTACACCATCACAGTGTGCTTCAGGGTCAGTGTGTGTTGTGTACTGTAACAGCGTGTGTTGTGTGTGTGTTGTAATAAAGTGCTGTGTTGGTGCCCTTACATGGAGCTCTCTCTCCCTCTGATGAATCGGGACGCTGCTGCTGCTGTGGCAGAATGAGACCGTGAAGTTTTATAGTCTCACAAACATCTCTGTGCTCCATACATATCATCACACTGCTGTAATCCTGCACACACACACACACACACTCATTCACACACATGCACACTCACGCTGAGCTCTCACACACACACACACACACACACACACACACACACACACACACACACACACACACACACACACACACACACACACACACACACACACACACACACACACACACACACCCACACACACACACACACACACACACACACACACACACACACACACACGCTGAGCTCACACACAGGTTAAATGAGATTATTCTCCTCTCTCTGCAGTAACCTGATTCCTGAGAAGCAGCCCCAGCTCCTCACACCTCTTCGTGTCTTTTGTTTCTGCTCACCTCGACGGACTCTGAGATTGAAGAAGCTGCACAGAGACAAAGACATCCCGTAACCGGGACTCCTTCATATCCAAATCCAAGTCCAGATAAATTGATCTGATCCAATAAACTAAAGAGTGACAAAATGATTCCTATCTAAAGTCCAGAAGACGATGATGATGATCAACAGAAAATATTCAAACCCATCCCCCCCTCTCTGTTTGCCTCCCGTCAAACAACTCATCAGGTCAAATAAGTAACCGGGACTCCTTCATATCCAAATCCAAGTCCAGATAAATTGATCTGATCCAATAAACTAAAGAGTGACAAAATGATTCCTATCTAAAGTCCAGAAGACGATGATGATGATCAACAGAAAATATTCAAACCCATCCCCCCCTCTCTGTTTGCCTCCCGTCAAACAACTCATCAGGTCAAATAAGATAAGCCACGCCCACTGCTAATGAGCAGGCATGATATCAAACGAGTTTAATAAGGAGCCAAACGCAAGGAATAATCATCAGAGGTTAGGTTATGAGATGAAACAGGAAATGACAAAAATATATTTCTTTCATTGAATCAGAGACGTGAGGAGACAGACGGAGACTTCAGAGTCAGTCTGTGTTCTTCATTAAACATGAACACCATCTGATCCTGCAGGTTTATCCTCTGAGCGTCCTGCAGGTTCATGCTCTGAGCGTCCTGCAGGTTTATCCTCTGAGCGTCCTGCAGGTTCATGCTCTAAGCATCCTGCAGGTTCATCCTGTGAGCGTCTGCAGGTTCATGCTCTAAGCGTCCTGCAGGTTTATCCTCTGAGCGTCCTGCAGGTTCATGCTCTAAGCGTCCTGCAGGTTTATCCTCTGAGCGTCCTGCAGGTTCACGCTCTGAGCGTCCTGCAGGTTTATCCCTGAGCGTCCTGCAGGTTCACGCTCTGAGCGATATGTTTAGAGAAATGTCAGATCAACACACTGAGTGAACAGTGAAGGACTCACACACACAATAACCTCTTCGTAGTTTGTCCTGATTGGTCCAAAATGCAGTATGGGAACAAATGTGAGATCG